AACAAGATTGCTTATCAAAGGCTAATCTGCTTTGAAGGACTAAACTTTTAATACCCTAGTCATAGATTAGGGCTTCGGTTAGCAATAATAGTGTGAGAGATAGAGTTAAATTATGATTTAATTGGAATCCTATTGGGTCTAATCGTTAACCTCTTAAATTTTTTATTTTATTTTTTATATTTAGGAACGCTTAACATTTTATTTTTACGCCACATCTATGATAAGTATGAAATTCATACTCACCAATAAATAGGCAAATATTGTCCATTTAAAATAATTAGTTAGTTACGTGATTTAAGTATTTCAGTTTATTTAGAAATATATATATATAAATATAAATAAATAAATAAATAAGGAAGAAGGAAAGGAAGAGCAATGGAAAGCTTTCCGTTAATTGATAGAGGAAAAGATAAAAAGAGGAATGAAAATCATTCCATCATATCCCATTTTTTCTAAAAGTGGGAGGAGAGAAGTAGGGAATATTTCATCTTTCTTTTAAAACTTTTTTACACCTTTTAGAATTTTTTTTTTTTTTTTAAAGGCTTTTATGTTTATTTTTATAGTTATGAAAGAGTTCATAACTATGACTTATTTTCACTTTTCTCTCTTCGCATGAAAGATTGAGAGTTCAAAGTTCATTTGTATGACTTTCTCTTTTATTACTCAACTAGTGTTCGTATTTCTCTTTAGTGGTATGTCTTCCATCCTCATATGTTAATTATTTTCAAATTTCTATTTTTTTTTTTATGCCAAATAGATATTGAATGGTCATCTTTAGAGTTAGGAGTGTCCGACATACTACGACTAATTAAAATACATAATTTAAGTTGATTGATGGCCATTTTTATAAATTAGTGAGATCAAATTTCAAAGTGTATAGTGAGGGTTCGAGTCTTTAAAGCTCCAAATTAGGTACCTGAGTGGTATGTGTTATGTACCAATGAAAAAAGAAGGAAAAAAAATATGTATTCTTATATAATTTATTGTGATTGGTAGGTGTGCATACGGTCCGGTTTGGACCGAATTGGGAATATTTTGGGACCAAATTATTTATAATGGTTCTACTATTTTTGAAACTAGACCGAACCATAATATCCATGGAACCAAACCAAACCAAACCGCGAAAAATTGATTTGGTTTGGTTCGGTTTGTCGATTTCAGTTGATTTCCTTTTTATTTTATTTTAATTTAGAGGGGACAAAGTTTTCAAAAAATAAATCAACTAACATTGATATAACACGTAAAAAAAAGAATTTTAAGAAGAAATAAAGGAAAGAAAATTGAGATATATTTGAAAAGAGAAACTTGACTCTTTTAAAAAGAAATTTAAATAACAAAAAAACAAAAGAAGACACGTGAGAACTTTACTTGATTTAGGTTTAGAATATGATACACACACACACACACATATATAACATAGTAACGGTTCAGTCCGGACTAGTCCGATCTAGCACAATCCTAAACCAAGACGGGACCGAAAAATTACGGTTCCATAATTTTGAATCTAGGACTGGACCAAACTGCTATATAACTAGCCCAAATCGCTTAATTCTGTATGATCCGGTCCGGTTTTTCAATTTACCGGATTTTTTTAACACCCCTAATGATTGGTTAGACATATCAAACTTAATTTATACCCAAAAGCACCGAGTGAAATTAAACACTTCCATAATTTCCATTCGTGATGACACTGATGCATGGAAAAGTTTTGGCAATTGTTAATGAACCTAAATCTGATTTATAATCACAACCCACCTAGGTTCATGGGAGTCCAGGCCCATTCCACTCCTCTTTAGTATAAGATAATAGCACTTGGGCCAGGCCCCAATCAAGGTACAGACCTAATGTCAGGGCCTCCAACAAGTAACGAAGATCATCAATTATTCATAGTGTTGGATGTAGGATTATTAATTATCCAGAAACTAATCCTCACCTAATTACACATGTCTCTATGGAGTATATATGTTATGTTGTATAATATATACTGTATGTTATATTATAAGTAATAATTAATTTCTCTCAGTACAATACATTATCATGTTTATACTATATTATGTTAAAATTTTATGTTACACTATATGTTATGTTATATTATAATTTATAAGTAATAATTTTGCATTGGGCGGTGGGCTGTGACGGCCCATTGTTCCCGTTGGCCTCATCTATCCATTTGTTCATACAATTTTGTATTTTAATTAAACAGAGTAATTAATAAATTTGTATACTGTTATCTTAGGGAAAGTGATCAGTTCTTGATTGATGGTGACTAGTCAGTTAAGCTTCATGGGTTTTGTAATAATCACGAGTTGTCAATAAAACAAATCAAATCCCTTAATTATTTCATGAAAAGTTTGGCTTGAAAGCCTTACTAAAAATAATAATAATAATAATAATAATAAAATAAAGGGACTTGAAGGCTTTAGTTGTTTAGATTAGGAGTTGTTTGTGCTTGAATTCATGGGAGTAGGATGCCTTGAAGGGAGAGAAAAGAACATGTTATCATCCCTTTTAGCCAATAAAGAAATATATATGTGTATATGTGTGTATATATATATACAGAGAGAGAGAGAGAGAGAGAGAAGGGTTGCAATTAAGAATATGAAATTATGAATAGAAATCTTAAAATTAAAAAAAGAGGGAGGCAATTAGCAAAGAGTGTTTGGGTTTGATACACTTTCCAGTTCATATATAGAAGAAAAAAGAAAGAAAGTAGTTGTTACCCATCACATGGGATGAAGGGGGGATAAACAAGGCCTTGTTCCTGACGAATCAAAATCATGCTTTTCCTAAACTATTCATCCCATACCTAAGCATGTCTCCTCTTCTTTTCCTCATGCATACCTAAAATTTCAATCTTGTCTACACAACTAAACCAACCTCCATAACTTCCCATAATGCCCTCACTATTTCATATTTATATATCTTCATTCCACAAACTAACCAACTTCTATCTTCTATTAATTGGTACAGACATACACAAGTATATAATATGATCATCTATACAATATGGAGCTTACAATGCCAGTCAGCTGAATCTTCGCACCAAAAGATGAATATGAGAATTTCATACTTTGTTGGGTGAAATAAGAGAAGTGAATTCATTATAGTTAAAACTAGTTTCTAAGGTTAGGTTCTAATTTACTCCGTAATCCATTGTCTGTGTGTGTGTGTTTCTGCACATAGTAGATGATCCCTAAAACCCTGTGTTGAGGATCCTAAACTATTTCTTTGAGTTACAAGGCTGCACGCATTACTTGAGTTCACTAAAAACATTGTTGCATCAAATCATACACATGTAGAATGGTAATTTGAGCATGAAAACTAAAGGACGAGTACTAAGCAGAAACCAGCTTATCAAATTCAGTAAGTTCAACATTTCTAGGGTTTATATTAACAAGCAAGCAAAATATATGATCATTCAACCAGATCGACAACTTAAGCAGAGAGCTCGAAAAGCTCTTGCTCTTTGTTATCTCTTAAACACAGCAGTCCATGACATGGTATGGACTAGTAAAGATATTGGAGATCTAAGATTTTTTTAAATGTCAAACATTGGCATTGCTAAGTTGGATTAGGATTGAGATATCATCTTGAAAGCAAGAACAACCGACAACTTTGCAGCAGCTCATGTGTGAAATAGAATTACCTACTGCACCTTGCTACTAACTACCAGTGGTGCAAAGAGAAAACCTAAAAACAAGAACTTCTTGTAATTATTAATATGAATCAAAATCTGTCAGTTAAAAATTATGCATGATTGAAACGAGGCATATTATAATGCATTTATCTTGATTTCATAAAAAAAAAATAAAAAAAATTGAAAGTCCATGGAATCAACACGTTAACAATGCCTCTAATTAAGCTTTTCACAATGAACAATTCTTGGATTTCTATATGGTGATAATCAATTTTGGAGGAAAACTAGGGCATAGTTTGATAAACAACCGTCATATTTATGGAGGAAAGATTTTGAAGAACAGAAGCAGTAAAATATCCCAAAGGTAGCTAGTGTGTATTGTATGTGTGTGTGTGTGTGTGAGACAGAGAGAGAGAGAGATTTATTGAAATGTTATGTAAAAGATGTAGAATCGAAATGAACTCATTGAACTGTCTATGCGTATGATGACATATTAAGGAGAAAATCCTTTTTGGAGTTCCAGCAAAACATGAATGTCAGAAAAATTCAACATCTTGTACCTTTCATAAATAATGAAGGCAACATTTGACAATAATGAAAACAGTTTCAAAATTCCAATTGAAGTGAATAACAGAATCTAACAATTTCAATCAGAAAACATCTCACATGAGGGAAATAGGCAGAGTTTGAAGGGCTTTTGTTTGAAATAAATCTGAAGACTAATTGATTGAGAAATATACAATGATTTTAATATCAGCCGACATATTGGCAGTAATTAAGAGATGTCATTATCCTGATATGAAATTGATGCTACTATCAAAGCAAGTGTCGGGTGTTTGTGCTCGAGTCTTTTACTCTTTCCTCCTCTTGAACAGCTAATCACTAGCATTTTTGTCTTAAAATATATATATATAATAATTTGATACTACCAAGAGCTTTTAACTCTAATAAAAATCTTCTCCCCTTTACAATTAAAAGGTTAATTTTGATTTTGTTTTCTTTTTTCATTTTCTAGATGTTGGTGGTGTTAGATTTCTCTCAGAGCAATTCATAATTCACAAAATTACACGTATTGGAATATTTCGAACTTGCTTGATTTGTAACTTTAAATTTTTTAAAAAAAATTTAAAAAATAAAAAAATTATTCTAAAAAAATAATTTTTTATAATTATCTGAAAATAGATATTTTTATAATTGAAATTTCTGAAAACCCTTATTTTCTTTTTTAAAATCAGCCCAACAAAATTCGAACTTCCAACCCCACCAAGAAAAGGTTGATAATTCAAGTGCGTCCCCATACAAGGCAAAGCAGGTGTGGGTATAAATGACTTGAAATAAATCATGCAATTTTGGAAAATTGTTTAGTCGTTTTCTTGAGAGTGTGTAGTCTACAGGCAAGCCACAAAATATAGAGAGGGAGAGAAAAAGGAAATTAATAAAAAATAAGAGAGAGAGAGAGAGAGAGAGTCCCTCACTACTTTTTTTTATGTTGCAAACTTGCACGCATCCATTTTGGCAGTGGCAGAAACAGAAGGAAGACAGTACTGCAGAGACACAAGGAGAGAAGAGAAGAAGAGAAGGACACAACCACAACCAAAACCAAGACCAACCCAAAAAAAATAAGAACAAAAACAAGATAGCAAACTTGGGGTTTTGAGATATATATACATATGATAGAAAAAAAAAAATGTATGTATGTATACCAAGATCACTCTCATTTCTGTTTGTGGTGAGTTGGGTTTTTTAAGCTGCTGTGTATTGTCCATGGGTCAGAAGCTCTGATTTTTTCCATTTACTATGGCCTTTTGGTCCAACACAAACTAATTTATTCATATTTGTAGTCTCTTCTCAGTTCTCATAAATATATAATCTTTGTTTGGGAACATTTGGGTGGTGTTATTTTTGGTTTTCCAGAACTGGAGAGAGATTGTGGGCTTGTGGGTTGTTTTGAATGAAGGCTATGCCCTTACCTTTTGATTTTGAGGGGAAGGGGGTGTTAGAGTTTGTTGCAGAGACTTCATTTCTTTTATCATCACCATCTTCAAACCCATTGGTGAATTTTTGGAACAAAGAATTTTGCTTTGTGGGTAGTGAGCCTACCTCTGTCCTGGAGACCTTCAGAAGCCCAAGCCCTCCTGCTTCTACTTCAACCCTGTCTTCTTCTCTGGGCTTCGGCGGAGGCGGAGGAGGAGGCAGAGGAAATGGTGGTGGTGGTGGCGGCTCTACAGACACGGCCGCCGTGGCGTCGATTTCACGCAACTCATCCCAAAAATGGCCGCCTGTGCAGCAAGAAACCAGCAGTTCGAATATGAGGATTGAATCAGTTCAACCCACTCTAGAGATCGGCGGTGGCGGTGGCGGTGGCGGTGGCGGTGGCGGAGGGGAGAAATGTGGACTGGGGATGGAGGATTGGGAAGGGGAACTGTCGGAGACGGTGGCGGCATCGCCAAGCCAAGAGCAGTCTATACTGGGGTGGATCATGGGAGACATGGAAGACCCATCTATGGGATTGAACAGGTTGTTGCAAACTAGCTGTGGACATGACTTGGAATTCAATGGTGGGTTTGGTGTTGTAGATCAAGGTTATGGGGCAGACCCAGTTGGGGTGGTGGCTTCTGGTGGAGGAAATTTGATGGCTGGTGTGAATCTTTCTTTGCCCACTTCAGGGTTTTCTCAGGGATTCAACAATGAAAAGATTGGTTTGGCCCCAAATCCATCAACTCTTCCTAATCACAAAATTCCAAACCCTCCAAACCCTATGTTCTCTCCATTACCTAGCAATCTTGTACCCATTTCTTTATCTTCCAATGCATTCAATCAACCACAACAAAGTCCACATCAACAACCACCATTTGAGTGTGCTGAAGTAAAGCCACAGATTTTCAATCCACAAGTGCTAATTAACCAGCACCAAGCTCAGCACACACAAAACCCAGCTTTCTTCTTGCCATTGTCATACACCCAACAAGAGCAACACCTTGTTTTGCCACCACCAGCAAAGAGGCACAACCCAGGTGGCATTGAGCCGAATTGTTCAATCCCAAAGGTTCCTTTTTTGGATTCAGGACAAGAACTATCTCATCAGCTTCAATTGATGCCTCATTATCTGCAGCAGAGGCCAACAATGGTGGCAAAGCCGAAAATTACTGGTGACGAAATGGTGCACCATCACCAGCATCAACAACAGCAACAGCAGCAAGCTATAATCGACCAGCTATATAAGGCTGCAGAGCTGGTCCAAATGGGGAATTCTGTACTCGTGCAAGGGATATTGGCGCGGCTCAATCACCAGCTTTCTCCAATTGGTAAGCCTTTCCATAGGGCTGCTTTTTATTGTAAGGAGGCACTGCAATTGCTCCTTCACAATAACAATATGACACCCTTGGCAATGAGTTCATCTCATTCTTCGCCTTTTAGTTTCATTTTCAAGATTGGTGCATACAAATCTTTCTCTGAAGTGTCCCCTTTTGTTCAATTTGCCAATTTCACTTGTAACCAGGCTCTCCTTGAAGCCTTAGAAGGATTTGATAGAATCCATATTATAGATTTTGATATAGGTTATGGAGGGCAATGGGCTTCCTTTATGCAGGAGCTTACATTAAAGAATGGTGGCGCGCCATCGCTTAAAATCACAGCATTTGCCTCTCCCTCAACTTGTGACCAGCTCGAGCTTGGGCTCACTCAAGAAAATTTAACACAATTTGCTAGTGAAATTAATTTGGCGTTTGAGTTTGAAAGTGTGAGCCTTGATTCATTGAACTCGGCATCATGGTCACTCCCTCTTCACATCTCTGAGAATGAGGCAATGGCAGTTAATCTCCCGGTTGGTTCGTTCTCAAATTACCAGTTGTCCCTCCCTTTGGTTCTTCGTTTTGTTAAGCAACTCTCGCCAAAAATTGTGGTCTCTGTGGACAGAGGATGTGATAGAACTGACCTCCCGTTTCCAAACCATGTAATTCATGCCCTTCAATCTTATTCCAACCTGCTCGAGTCTCTTGATGCTGTAAATGTGAACCTAGATGCCCTACAGAAGATTGAGAGGTTCTTGCTTCAACCAAGCTTTGAGAATATTGTGATGGGTCGCTACCAGTCCCCGGAAAAGACACTGCACTGGAGGAACCTCTTTTTGTCATCTGGGCTCTCCCCGTTAACATTCAGTAACTTCACTGAATCCCAAGCTGAGTGTGTTGTGAAGAGGACTCCAGTTCGGGGATTCCACATCGAAAAGAGACAGTCTTCGCTTGTTCTCTGCTGGCAGAGGAAAGAGCTCATATCTGCTTCTGCTTGGAGGTGCTGAAGAACAGCATTTTGTCTTTGGAATAGCCAATTCATTCCTGCTTGTGAAGGTTCCTCATAAATCATTACTTACTGAAATAGTCTCTGATCCTTCTCTGTATTCTTGCTTGTGATTTCCCTTTGCTAATTGTCCTCGTAGGTTAAGCAGATTGTCTCCAGTAAAAAAGAACCAGGCATCTTAGTAATTGGATGGTCTAGTTAGTTCTTTCTCTTTTAATCTCTTATGGGTATTACTGTTATGATGTTGTCATGCTGTTATGGCAAGAGGCAGAATTTGGTTCCAACTATGTTGGAGCTGTTTGTTGTACACCTGACAAAAAGACAACCACAAATGAAAATGAGAAGCATTTAAACCTTCAAATTGATGTCTTTGAGTTGTATGATCTGCACGCATTTTCTCAATATCTTGCTGTTGTGTGTTCTTATCCCACAGTTTGGACAATTTGACATTGTGAGAGCATTTTACTTTACCATGCATGTCTGATTTTATTGTGTATAGTTGAACAATGTGTGAATTATTCACCCCATGAGACAAATAAAATTATTCTTCAAATCTTTTTTGAGTTCTGCAATTTTATTGCAATCCTGATACTTGCCAACATGCATGCATGGCTATCCCCCCATCTCTGAACCATTATGGAATGATTGCCCAATATTCTTGCTGAATTCTGTGAAGCCACTGGTATATTGACTATTTCAAGACTGTTTTCTGATAATTTTCAAATTCCATTATATTCCCCGGGTTCGAATATTTCATGTATTCTGAATTTGTCAGCTTCAGAGAGTGTAGAAGTTCTATTCCAGCTGGTTTGCAGGTTCCTGATCCACTGGGCAACAAAGGTTTTCTTAGGCCTCACTAGTATTGCTGTTAGTTTCTACTCTATTATGCCAGCTATATGATCGAAGATCATTATTACTGCTAAACCATTCACTTGTTTTCGTGATACTTCTATCATGTTAGTCATATAGCTTTTGAGTTTCATTTGAATGCTAAGCTATTACTTATCAAAAAAAAAAAAAAATTTTGAATGCTAAGCTATTATAATTGTCTAACCATCTTCTTAGAAAGATCTTATTTAAATCCAATGCTTGATTGAAAACTTAGTTGTTCCATTTGCTTTGCCATTAGATGGTACTTCTTAGATAGTTTGCCTTGTCATTTGTACTGTCACAGCTCCTTGCATAAAACTCTCCTCTACATAGATGGATTAACCCGATTGAAAATAGACGTGCATACACATCCAAACACTCTCATTGTTTAGGAACTTCAAAGTCCACAGTTTAGGTGATTGAACCAGTTTGATCTGTCATCTATCTTCTTATGTGAAATATAATATAAACAACGAATGTTATCCTACTGGCAGTGCCCCATAGAATTCGGCATTGTAGGTCTCAATGATCGGATGTTGGCCTAAATTCCTTCTAGTTGCATGCATATGTAGGAACTTCACCGTTGTCTCTATTATTTTCTACTAATAATCAATAATTGTTGTCGCCCTATTCCATTGCTGATCATTATTATTATTTTTTATTGTATACTTATATTTTCTCATAATCCATCATCTTATTCATGCACGCAAACACTTGTATTATTATACATTGAATTTGTTGATGCTCTGGTTTATAATTTTTGTGTTTCCTAATCAAAATCACATGGGACTTGTACTATTGGAACCCTACATGATTAGTTTAAACTATTCTCTTTCATCACCTTGGAAGCTCTCCATTTATATTATAATCTGCTTTTTTCAGCACAACATTATATTAAACCATTCAGGCCATGTTGCATATGAGAGAGATTGCATATGTGAGAGACATGTCTGGCTCTTTTATTATATAGTATTATTATTGTTAATTTTTATATAGGAAAACCAAATAGGTCCATTGTGTAAACAATGTCTGATCTCTGCTAACATTTCTATTACTATAATAATTGTAGTTATAAGTATATAGTTTAAGTTAATATGGTTATATATATGTTGAAGGGCTCAACTACCCTCCTCTTTACCAATGGGGTCCCCAATCTCAATGAATGGGTAGTAAAAGCCATAATAGCCGAGTTGATATGGCCATAGCGGTGGTCCAATTCTGAAAGCAGTGTGTGGTACTGCCCTTTTCACCTGCAGGGGCACCCCAATATTAACAAGGGTGCAGTTTGTATAGGCTTGAGCTTAGACATAGCATGAATTTTGGATTATCTCGTAGCAGTTGAATTTGCGATGACTGATGAGTCCATCTTTATCGAAGATGTTCGATAGAGTTCGGAAATATGAAAGATGAATGTGTTCATTAGGAGTTTGTGGTGATGACATGAATTTTGGATTTTCTCGTAGCACTTGAATTTGTGATGACTGATGAGTCCATCTTTATGGAAGATGTTCGTTAGAGTTCAAAAATATGAAAGATAAATGTGTTCATTAGGAGTGTGTGTGGTGATGACATGAACGTTGTGTATTTTTTGTACCTAGCTATAATTTGAATGGTGTGGCTTCATTCTAATGTGCAGCAACAATTTGTTTCACAGTTTTATTTATTTTTTTGACAATGACACTGACAAGGTTTTGAACTGGCTTTGCTTAATTGATGTTTAAGTTTGTTGATTAAAGTAAAGATATTTCTTTATTAAAGAAATTTTAGGGTCATAAAGAGCAGAGGGTGACAGACTGACGTGTCTTTCTTAACTTTACTCCTCACTCGCTCAAGAGTTTTTATCTTAGGAATACTATATAGGCTTTACTTTTGTTTAAATCACTTGTACACATGTGTTTGTGGGTCCATCTGAATTGTATAGACCAAGTCAGATATATCATTGAAGGTTTGTTCTTGATCAGTGAGTTGTGTTTGACCTATCTAAAGATTAATGCCTCCACCAGTGATGGCCTAAATGAACCACATAGAAATCTCTGCTCAATTTTTAATGTAGTTGATTTGATCTGATAATATCAAATTTTGATATCATAGTGAGGTTTTATCAACTTAATGGTGTTGGATTGCAGTATCAATAGTACCAGATTTGAACCATAACAATATATGCATATACATATATCCTGAAACAAATATTGCAACAAAATTTTGAAGATTTGAAGTTGTTCTCATCATGCTTAGAAAAGTTAATCCAGTGTGGATTTGTTGTCCCCTGTCTAAAATTGTCTGGATATGTCCTATAGACCCTTTATTATTTTAGTATTTTTTAGTCCATAATGGCATTTCCATTTCTCATCTTTAACAACGGCTAACATATCCCAACTATTTTCATATAGTGACAACATTGAGAGAAAGAAAGTCTACCCCTTTTTTTTTTGGGAAAATATTGAAATTAAATTTATATTACCAAGAGTTTTGTTAGTAAGTCACTTAAGGTTCATTTGACAATGTGATTGAACATACTTGATAAAGTATAATTGGCTGCAACATTTTAAAAGTAAAAAAAAAAAAAAAAAAAAATAGGTGCCAAATGGCTACAAATTAATTACCTTTCAAAATGACATTGTTGCTTTTTATTTTGGTACTGTACAGTGTACATCACCATCTGCAACACAAAACATGCAACAAAAGGGGTGGTAAAGAGTGAACTTCATCCCACTGCATCCTGATCGAACACTTTTCACAGTGATCCAACGACTGGGATCCATTGTGTCCTGCTCGGCATGGTTGGGGGAATACTGAACAGTTTGATGGAATTGGCAATTGACATCAATGGGAAACAACTTGAGTGGGACCCAAAGCGAATACTGAATTGTCTCGATCATGATTCACGCCACGTGTACGGCTGATGCAGGGGAGGGAATGGTCCCATCACATCGTTTAATTTCTTGAAGGACTTGACAGTTGACAATGTGTACATGCACACAGATGATAACGATCGAACGGTCTACGGATGCGAATAGAACAGCAGAAGTGGACCCCATCGTTGTGACCATACCTAAGGTACAGCCCACTGCATTGGATCAATGTTTCGACACCTTTCCTTGTCACCATTTTATGGTAGCACTAGGCAAAATTGAGACCATCAACGTTAATATATTATCAATTCATTTCGGCTACCGACTTAATTCAACTGAATTTATGTAGTCACTCACATTATACGTACAATTACGACTCTTAGGATAATCATACGTCAAATTGCTTAATAAAAATTAATATTTGAATTCAAGAAATTTAATCTCACACCCCGCATACCTCTTTTAATGCTAGAGACATTATAAAATTTTCCTCTAGAATAATTCTTACCTTCACAATTGTTCCTATAAAAAAAAAATGAAAAAGGAAGGTAATCCTAGAAAAAGATGGGAGTATTTTTGCAGCTGAATAATTAATGACGAATCCATTTCTATGCATGGATATTATTACTTCGTTGAAAATATTTTGGCAGAGCTATTTTTTGCGCGTTCAGTGCATCTTTTATTGGAATATAACAAAAAGGGATGAATTGCGTAATTTAAGTGGTAAAGGCACTTCTTAAGTCGTGTAGAAGTTTAGGTAGACTAATTCCACCCTATCCAAAAATTGGGATAGACCTAAAGGGACCCCAATACACAATGTAGACATGGTTGTGATCATCGTTTACATTTTTTTTTTGAACAACAAACCTTAACTCTTAAAATGATTAATATTTTTAAAAGACATGAATTCTTAATTTTAATCAATGAATTGAAATATATATTAGATGATTTATTTGAATTTTTTAACCAACTTAATTTAGTGAAAGGTCTCTTTAGAGCATTACTCTAAAGAAGGCAAAACATGCAGAACCATGATGTAAACAATGAAAAAAAAACTAAGTGGATGTTTGAGCATGTAAACACACATAAATATATTAAAAACAAAGCCAAAAAGGGTGAAGCCGCAAATGGCAAATACTTTTTGACTTTTTGAGAACTAGCTGCAAATTATTCTACTGAGAGAAAATCGAAAACTTGAATTATATATCCAATAAACTGGAAACTGGAAGTGGGGTTGAGAAAATCGGAGCTCTATTGAAAAGAAGCATCAAGGGCAGGCTAAACAGACTTCCACGGTATACAGACTCATAACTCTATTTATTATTGAATTTATAATTTATTGTTTATCCTTGAATGATTGAATCCTTTTTCTGGATTGATTTTTTTCCCCCTAATATTATTAAATATGGACAGTGCACAAATTGCACAATTATGTTATCGTTATGATTGTTATTCATTAATGAAGTTATCATACGGACTTTTCAAGATATGAAAAGTCGAGGATAATTGTAAATGTACTCAAAGGAATTATCAATGAACGTTTAATTTGTTTTTGTTTATTAGAATGGTTTCAATTTTTTTTTTATCTTATTGTTGTTAAAGGTCGCCCCCCTCACATGAATTTTTAAGTCCGTTCCTGCGTGTCGATATAAGGGTATTATACTAAATAGGTAAACCCAAACCTAACCCATTTAATAATTGTAAAAAAAAAAAAAATTGTCACAATTAACCCAAATATTCAAAATAAGAAGAAAAATCATAAGTCATAGACAATGTTTATGTTAAAATAACTTCACTATTCATAATAACTGGGTTTAAATGGATAACATATTACATAAGTCATATTTATGATTATAACATGTTGGGTTAAATGAGTAATAAACGGGTTACACAGGTTGAACCTCAACCTTAACTCGACACGATTAAATAAACGGGTTAATCGTGTCGACCCTTTTATAACCCAAACCCGTTTATGCCAAACTCAAACCCTTTTAATCCGTGTTGTGTTGTAATTTGCCACCCCTATCTAAAATTGTAAAGTGGGGTATTTTAAAAAATTAAGTAAGAATATTTTTAAAATTTTAATTAAAACTATAAGCGATAATGTAAATTGAAAAAATTATGAGTCCATGCCACAAGGAGGGGGGATAGCCTAAACTTGTGATAAGGGCTGGAGCCTGATTGCCTAAGCCCTAGCTAATATGAAGGCCCCAAAATTTTGAATTTTTTTATATATTTTAACTTTTCCTAAACAGATATTTTTCGCTTCAAATTTATATATTTTAACTTTCCCTAAAAGTATTAAACCTCAACTAATAAAGAAATTTGATGGTGAGCCTAAAAGATTTCTATCCTTTCTCACCTTCTTTGTTTTGGAGGTCTCAATTTTTTTTTCTTCTTTATATACTGTAACTTACCTAAAAAATTATTTATTTCTATTAATAGTGGGCCAAAAATTTTTCTATCCTTTTATCAACTTTTTTTTTTTTCTTTCACTGTTATCCTCAATTCCTCATTACACACACACACACACACACGGTTGGAATTTGTAAAACTTTTCATATTTTTTGAAGACTCCTCATTACACACACACACACACACACGGTTGGAATTTGTAAAACTTTTCATATTTTTTGAAGACTCTTAATTAACTTTTATCTTCCCTCTTTTTCGTATTCCACACATATTTTTCATCTTCTCTAATTGTAGCTTCTTTTTTCTTTTCTTTTTTTCCTCTTCGACTCCATAATTGTCACAATCGGTCGGAAGATTTTGAATATAGTTTTATTCTATAGAAGAATTTGTTGGAGCAGATTGATTTTTTCTCTATGGTTTTATTACTTAAATTATTTTATAATTTTTAAAATTTTTGTTATCATAAATTATATATTTTATTAATTTTTGTTATCATAAATTATATATTTTGTTTGTGAGTTGCCATAATTTTTATTTACGTTGAACTAAAATTTTAAATAAAAATTCTACAAATGAATCATAATAATATGAATACATTATTGTTTCTAACTTTTGGAGTTTCTCCTTGTTCGGCCATCAAACTCCCTATTTCACCGACACTGTGGCCACAAACAGCAAATTTCTCATACATATGTTTTGCAAGATTGTGTACAACTTCTACCTATACTTTCACTCTCTTATGGCATATTATTATAAATTATACTTCTACCTATATATAGGCATTATCCTCCCTAATCAACTATCAACTCTTCTAGAATTTATAAGTTAGTTTTTAGAGTTCTCCACTTAAATCTTTACATATTCACAAATCCTACAAAATTGTCAACTCTTGTAGATTTTTTTTCAATCTATCAATTTTTACAAATTCTTCAATATTTTAGAATTATCCATTTCTCTGTACAATATTGCACAATCTTTGCACATATATCAAAGACTCTAGAACATAACTTTTTTTATTATCATACAGAAGTCATGTAAAGCCCTCCTTAACACTTAGGTGTCATAATCTCCTTACAAATAGACCATGTGTGACAAATATCAACCTAAATTTGTGGCTTGGAATCTTCACTTGCTATAATGAATATCATCATTACCATTGTATCAGATTTTCTTTTTGGATTATCAAGATTAATATTATTAATTCTTGTGCAATTGTAAGTAAATAGTCGTGAACAATTCCCAACTGGACATTTAGCTTTGAGAACCTCAAATTAAAAGTCTCCTTTCACATGTCGATAGCAATTTATCACAATAGAGCATAAACTAAAGTTCAAATCCTTTTGTTTATCAATATATATGTATATTAAGTAAATAAAAACAAAGAATGAATGAAAGAAAAAATTGTGGTACCCTACCTTATCTTGGTAAACTATTGGATTTTCCAAATTATTTGAGAGGCAAGACCCAAAGTTGCTTCTCTCTTAATACATTAAGGGGTTAGTTGTACAAATGCCATAAAGGGTTTATGATTGGGGGAATCAATTCAAATGGCCTAAGAACGCAAATAGGATTTTCTCTATCTATTACTGTGATTTAAAAGGCAATGAAGAGTCATTTTCAAATACTTAAAAAGGATGTCTTGGAACACATAGAAGAGATGAAAACCTTGCCCTCCTTCACACATTGGTTCTATCCACCTGAATTTAAGACATTTATTTTCTGGACTGTTATAACTTAAGCTTGAGTAGCTTTCAATACAGAGTTCATAAAAAAGAGCACAGTACAATTGTACATTGACTCTTTAATTCAAAGTTCATAGATATTTTAAATAAGGAAACAAAACTCTTGTAATTCACCCATTATATCATTACATGTGTGTGTGGAACAAAAACATTGTAGAGTTGAGCATGACACTGATGTTTAAAAATAATCTTTAAAATGATTTTCTACATGGCCCAAAAAGTAAGTTATGGACCAATCTTGAATGGGAAGAGAAAGGGAAAGAACACAAGCAAGTGAATGGAAAAGATGCATTCTCTTATCACTCTCACAGACCAAAATATATGAATTGCTCTTTCATGGTCCTGCCATTGTTGCCTTTAGTCACCTCAATAGGTGAAAGCAGATTCGAGAGAGAGAGAGAGAGAGAGAGATAAAGGGGGAGAGCACCATCTGAGCATCTTGAAGACATAGAAGCCCATAAAAGTTGCACAATTTTTACAAGCACAATTTTTATAAAAATCAGCCTTCAATAGAAAGTATAATGATAAGCAACTTTTCATTAAGGAAATGAGATATAGGCACTTTTGTCATGGAGAAGCCTCCTAGGAGTGAGGGATTTTGAGTTGTATTTGAGATATATGCTTATGACCCAGACCAGACATATGGGCAGCTTTTTTTGCCTTCTTCAGAGATACAAATATATATATATATATTTGTATATAGTATGTCTGGTAAGGCCACACAGATGAGTGAGTGGGTCACTAAATAAAGAGAAGCCTAATATTGAGTAGTCATATCTACTGTCCACCCTTTCTGCACCACTTAAAAGCAGCATACACTTTTATGATTTCAAATGTCTGCCTGTGATTACAATAACAAAAGAAACAAAGTGGACCCCCACTACATGGTTAAAAAAAAACATAACTACTTTGGATTACTCAATCTCAATTCACTGCCCCTCCTCATGATCTCACTCACTCAACAGTGAATTGAGTACCTTGTTTTTTCACCCATTAGTTAGAATTGAGACAAAAACAAGTTAATTTTATTTCATTTAGGCTTTAACATGGGCAGGCCCATTGTTATGAGTGATGGAAGTATAAGTAAATAAAAATGGTAGGTGATTAGATATAAAAATGAAGAAGAAGCCAAGGGTAAAGCCAAAAACCAACCATGCATTGATTTGAGCATCCAAGGCAAATGGAGAAAGAAAAAGCTATGAAAAGAAAAGGAAAAGGTGTGTGTGTGGTGTGTGTGTGTGTGTGTGTGTGTGAGGTACATGGGTGTGCGTGTGCATGAAAAAAGATGGGGTTGTGATTAGCCAAAGTTTTTTTTAACTTCTCTCTCTCTCTTTTAAACTTTTATAGATGCTTGGCAACCATATCTCCTCCAAATCCTCTTTAAGCTTCCTTCATTGTTTTATTTTCTTTTCCTTTCCTTCCATTTTCCATAGTCAGCTTGGAAACAACGCCTTCTTTCCTTCCCACATATATTTTCTTTTCTTTTATACCAAAACCCTAAAGCAAGCACTCAGGCTTGTCAAAAGTCACTTATCGTAGGCCCCTCAATAACAACACAACATCCTCATTGCCCTCTCTCTCTCTCTAGTGGACATTTGGCTCCACAAGGGGCATTGCATGGATGAGTTACGCAACCTCCACAGTGCTTTTTTTTTTTTTTTCAATTAATTTTATTATTATTATTATTTTTAATCCAAATTGCTTCCTTCTCTTATCTCATATCTTATATATGGAGGTCAACCCAACATGCATTTGTCACGTCTCTTTCTTGCATTTTTCTACTATTTATCTTCTCTCAAATTCCTTTTCCTCATAATATCAATTTGGATTGGATTGGATTGGTTTGGTGTCTATTCTCATTGTTTCAATTCCTAGGTCAATGTCCTCAATAATTAGCACTCTGTTTGTTTATGGGACCAGGAAGGCATGAAATTTCATGCATCCCACTAATAATTTTCAATTTCTTTTTAATCCAAAACAAATGTGGGCCAAATTCTGGATAGGGAAGACCCATGCATACTCCTAATATTTAGATGGATAATTATTCTCCAAATAATTTGTAATTTTAAAAAAAAAAAAAATTTTAAATGCCCTAATATATATGTTTGATAAGTTTGAAGACAAAAAATAATAAAATAAATAAATAAATAAATATATATATATATTTCACTTATTTAAAATATGTACAAGTTCTTGTAATGCATCTGATGATCAGTTTGTGACCTCTAGCACACATCTGGACTGTGCAAAAACTTAAATTCCCATTTTCTATTTAAAATGAGAAGGAAATGTTGCTCTCAAGAAAATCCTATTGTTTGGAATCCAGAGTCATATCTTGATCCAATAAATTTGGGCCTACACAAGTGCCAATGAAAAATAAAAACCAGGACCACCCACCGTCCCTCTTATGATAAAACATTGCAATATAAGATGTAAAACCTAAAATGGCATTAAGTTAGTTGAAATAGATTTGCCAAAAAAAAAAATTTGAAATCGATAGCTGAAGCAGTGCTCTTACAACACAATAGTTGTCTTTCTGATGCTTACAAAATAATAATAATAATAATAATAATAAAAAGGAGAGAGCACATACTAGTCATAATGAAGAATTAAATGGCCTAAATTAGCTGCTGAATCAATTGACTAATGACAAAGATATGCCCCATAATCAAGATGAAACTCTTTAACTTAACAATAAGCTACAGAATGACATGAGGTTTAGGCCACTAATTTAGGAATTCCTATCATGGCTATAAGAATAACATGAGGTTTAGGCCACTAATTTAGGTTTGTACACTATAATGAGGGCTTCACTCAAGATCTCATGGCTCATGGCTCCTATCATCTTTATAGGAATTCCACAAATATTCTAGCCCCCGGATATTTTTTATGGCATCCAAACTATTAAATATTTTCCAATTGTAAGATCATATGATTCCGAAGGGGATTTAAACATGGTGTGTATTGCTAGAGCCACGTGGAATTGCCCTTGCACTCTCAGTTCCTCCAGTTCTTTTCCATTCTGCACTGTCCAAATTTGAGAAAGCGTTGGTTCAAATTTGGACAATTCACCAGAAAAAATCCAGCTTATTCATGGCACCGACCTCGATTTCTTGATATCAAACTCCATAAAGTGGGAGTAAGGTTTTCACAAAGGAGTACACAAGCGCTCCAGTAAATATGTAGCTGTCCACTCTGTCCAGTATTCCACCTGTACAAAAGCACTGCCTTAGTTTATAAACAAATTTATGGAACTGAATTTAGACATGAGATTGATAGCCATGATATTTTTTAGGGCTCAGACTATGAATGATAATTGTTTGAGAGAATATAGATGTAGAAGTTCATAAAGGCTGGATTGACCCTCGCATCCTAAGATAATAATACTCCGTCATATAAAATAGTGCTTTAGGGCTTCAGATTACATGTCGTGTTTTTGACATGTATTCAACTCGTCTATATACATGCACCAAGCAACAAGTCCGAACAATCAAGTTTATTATTAGCTTACATAAATTATCTTATTATGTTTCTTCTCTTACATTATTACTTTCAAAATGAATGTAGTGCAAATATTGAATACTCAATGTTACATAAAACATCATTTTTTTCTGCAAATATTAGAAACATGAACATTTAGTGGTGCTCATGTATTCTTGGGGTTGGGGACTTAATAAATTCAATACTTATACACTTATAAAACACCAACATGTAACATCAAGATTGGATTAGGCTCGCCCTGTTTCAGTCAGGAACAGCTTCAAGACCTAATTTTGATAGATCATGCATACTGACGAAAGCATTAACCAATATTGCTGGCTAAGTAATCCTACATAACTTATCTGTTATAAGGCATAAAATTAACATCTCATGAAGTCAAGGGTGATGACCATTAAAACACAGCACATATATATAATTAATACAGAAAAAATGAGAATGTGGTAATGACACTAGTAAATTGAGGATGCAAATAATTATTAGTGACAAATCTCAATATCCCCTTGCATGCCGAGACAATAATAATAATAATAATAATAACACAAAAATGTCACCAAGTAGAGCAAAAGAACAAAGAATACATATCAATTCTGGGAATTTAGTAAAACGAATGCTATAGTGAGCACAATTTCTTTTGTAAACACCATGTAAATGCATCCATATAGTAGTGAAAGAAAGAAAGAAAGAAAGGGGAAAAAAAAAAGAAGAAGAAGAAGAGAGAGAAGAAAAGGAGAAGAAAGGAATACAGCTCAGTTACATATTTAAGATATTTCTGGCAATGTTTCTTTCTTTTTTGGAGGGGGGGGGGGGGGGGGATACGCCCCAATGGGGACTTGAACCCTCATCAGAGTTGCCACCTGAGCTTAAGGCTCGGTGCTAATTTCTTACAAGTTTGACAAATCATGGGTAATAGCAAAATATTGTGGGACAGTCATGGATGTGTAAATACTTCATACTGCATAGAGTACATAATAATTGAGCTCTCTTACACACATGGAAACATTAAGCAACTTTATTGAAGTAAACAACATAACAACATATGTGAATGAAGTAGCAACAAACACCTCCACTATCCAAGTACAGAATTCCAACATGAATAAAAAGGTAGTTACCATGTCCAGGAATCAGAGACCCCGAATCCTTGACACCCGCATCACGCTTGATCATCGACTCAGTAAGGTCACCAAAAAGAGATCCAAAGAAATTCAAAACCCCCAAAGCTATTGCACTGATAATCAAGTAATAAAATACATTAATGTATGCAAATACCAGGTTTACAAACATTTCTAACTTCAAATTTTTGTAGGTTGACCATAAATAAAGCCGATGAATCACCTTGCACACAGAATATAACCAATCAAAACTTATAAACACACACATCGGCTTATTAATTTCATTTCCCATGGAACATCCATAAAACGTTTGACAGTTGAATTCAAAAGATTTGAGCTCGAAACCCTCGCTAAAGATAGAAATCATAAACTTAGAAAAATACACTGGTCATCAGATTGATTGTTCAACAAGGCAATCAGTAGGATTTACAGGTAAAACCAATTCAAAATCATATTCATGTAACATTATGGATCAGTTAACAGCCATTTATTTGATCCATTTCAGATTGATTTGAAGGTAGCACAGATACAACATCAGATGGATTAGACAAGTGAACATAAGACGGATTGTTACAGAGCTTAGACAATTCCCAACCACCATACAACCCTTTCCCCCCCACACCACCCCCAAAAGAAAGGGGAAAAAAATAATGATAATCGTAACAAATAAACTAAAAATTGGCATAGGCATGGAAGCACACTCACACTTAAAGAGATAATGCACACAAACAAGCAGCTGGCTTTGGTAATTTATGACAACGCAACATTGACTACTGAGAAACCATCCAGTAATATGTTCAACACTTATTGAACTCCTAACTATACCCCTAGATTGTTCCATCAAACACATTCACTTATTATGTACAGATATGCCAATTCAATTAACATTCAATTTTCATTGGATGTCTAAACTCCATGAACAACAAAGTGAAAATATAAACAAGTCAAAACATTATTATTGCACTTCAATATTAAAAAGGATAAATGAAATAGATTGTGATTTCCAAAATAAATAGTAATTCTGTAACCTAAATTAACACTGAATAGAATATATATACCTCAGGAAAGACGTTGGCCAACAAAGGATCTTTGATAATAGAGCAGAAGTGGCTATACAACCACCTAAGCCTGCAACAGTTCCCTCCCATGTCTTCTTTGGACTAATATTAGTAAGTGGTGTTCGGCCGAAAGCCTGCCTTAATGTTCAAAGCATATCATTTGGTGTCATTATAGGCTACCGCATATTATGTAATGTATAAGCAAGATTATAATTAGATAATTGTACAGAAAACAAAGTATCATACATTAAGGAATGAGAAATGAGCATTATTTCCATTGGAGTCCACAATATGTAAGCTAAAAAATCGTTATGTCTCCAACTTGGATACCTAACTGAGAGTCCATGGAATAACATAGGAATGAACATAGCAACTATATTTCACAAAGCATATGAAGGAAATTAACCATGGGTGCTTCATTAATAAATACATAAGAATAAGTACTAAATATTAACTTTTTAAACTTCTAGTACTCTATCATGAATGAATCAAATGAAAGACATAAATTAATTATAGAAAACGCATGTACATGTTGATATGATCTTTTAATATGCAAAATATAATATGCATTAAGGATGCCAAATTGCCAATAAATGAGGGCACAACCCAATTACACGTTATGCATACATGAACGTGACATCTACCTATCTATGGACAAGCAGATCTCCTCCAAACACATACAAGAGGCTCAAAAGTAAAAGGGAAGGATTGAGAAAGGCAAAACACTAAAGATATTATACTGTGCCTTTTAACTTATGAATAGGAAGTTCCTCTCCCTCAAAATCTCATTTCTCTCTCTTCCTCCACACGCTCTTGAACCTAGCATCATCCAAGATAATCCCAGAAAATAATAAAAGGAAACTCCACAAATCCCTCGCAAACTCACTCAAGCAAAAGGTGGTTAAAAACTTTCTGCCGAATCTTAGCACATATAAGAGCGCACTGTCACGAGCTGGAACCTCTTCTCGGATTATAACTAGTCAAAATACCTTTCAAAGCAGCCATAATAATAATAATAATCCACCTTTTTGGAGTGTTAGTATGCCAAATTCCTTTTCAAAGAATAATTAACCAAACCACAAATTTGCTTCGAATGTGGAATTACATGGACTCGAAAGTGTGTGTCTAGGTGTGAGACTTCCCTAATCCCAAATCTTAAGACGTGGGGGCTTGGCTTGAAATGTGTCCAACTTAAATTTGGGTACATGTACATTTTTTTTTCTTTTATTTATTTATTTATTTTTTATAGGTAAGTAAACTCACATTGAATCCTCAGCCTCCCCTTTGGGGAGGTCATAGGATAAACCAAGCCTTTGGCAATATTACTGAAACATTAATGCTATCTTTACTTGAAAATATACTTAGTTACAATTTAAATTAAATATGGTCAAAAAAAAGGGGATTCCATCTATTTTAGAAGTAGGAACCCATTTTTTGCAATCAAAATTGTTAATTTTTTTTCTTCTTCTTCCATCATTGCATCTAGAGGATCCGGGGGTCCAATTTGGGTATGTGCGTCAGACACATATTCCATTCTGATGTTATGTCATGTCAACACGGCTTCATTTAGGGGAACAGAAGAGTCCATGTAATATAAGATCACGTATAATAGCTCCAAAAACTCCGTAACTGAGCCAACATCTCAGTCCTGTAAAGCTCTTCTAGGCATGGGAGTCCAAACTGCTTATCTAAGAAAATCCACACCGCTTATCCAAGAAAATCCAGTAATCTAATTACCTCAAAGCCAATTATTTCTCAGAGATCCCCTAACCCTTCATAACACTCTTTTTCTAAACAAACACCATGATGGCTCTTAACCTCCCTTGACATTCAACCACCCAATCACTCCCATAATTCCTCTGTCTTGATATCCCCAACAACTCCCTTAGACCTATACTACCATTACAACCGGAGAAAACAGCACATCCTGATTAACCAAATGTCACTTACTTTCATCCTGCATTTCTCCCCTCATCAAAAAAACTATTTTGAACTTCTCAGGCTTCTTGACAAGGCAAATAAATTGAGATTAAAAAGCTCAGCTTTATCATTCTACAAAAAATACTCTCTTTACCCCACTAGCCACCTTTTAGACCTCTCAACAAATACATCCCAGGGCTTCATTAGTGTTAAAAGAAGAGTCTTCACGGAGCCCCAAAAACACAATAAAAAGAAAACCAACTCTACAACCTAAATTTTCAACTGAGGCTTCAACATCCCCAGCTTTCTCACTCGAAATAAGCTCTCTTAACAAAATTTATCTTTAGGTTAGATACTGCTTCAAAGCATACTAACTCACACCTGAGGTATCTAACCTGAGCTTCCTCCGGGCTCCACCCTTGAGAAAATGGCGTCAGTAGCAAAAAGCAGATGGGAAACACAAAACCAGTCCATCATAATGACTACTGGATAAAAAATCAACAAACTCCCATCAACAACTCCTCTCTACAACCCACTTACATTGATCCCTCTGTAAGGCCCCTCAGGCACGTATATAAACCATACAAGTAGCCATTCACCAATATAGAAAGCCACACTGAGGTAATACAAGCCTTATCCATATCCTCACCTTGCCCCAAATCCCATCATCTCAAGAAAGCAAGGGAAAAGAAAACACCTAATAAGTATGGCTGTAAGTCTTCTCAATGCCGAAATGTGTACCACCCCATATCACCACTATCTGTGCTCAAAAGCATACATACATTTGTCTTCGAGACAGCATCCAAAATATAGCGGGCCCCATAAATAAAAGCACTATGAGCTTCAGCAGCAACAGCTTCAATAACCTTATATGTCTGCCTTAAAGGACTTCGAACACCAACTTATGCACACTACGAACCAAATTGATAGTCTAAAGTCCCTGATGCCAACTGATCCCCTTTTATAGAACCAGCATTTTAAACAAGGCAATTTAGGCTCTTCTCAAACTCATCATGCTCAAAAGTGCTAGTTGCCATGACATTCTCCCTAACAACACCTCATCATTGCTGGAAGAATGCCATCAAAATACCATCAAGCCAGAATCGGGACGCGCATCCAAACTCTCACATACATTGATCACCTCCTTCATAAAAGGCCACCTCGTCAAGAGATCGAAACTCATCAAGCAGCGGCCTCCCATTGTGGTGTTTGAATATAGTCTCTTGTAGAAGAATCCTCTTTTTAACGTCCTAATGCCTGCTAAACTCCACTCCATCAATGACAATGTAATTAATATGGTTGGATCTTCTATGTGCATTCATCATTCTATGGAAGAATCAAGTGTTCTCATCCCTTTCTTAATCTTTTCTTTTTTGGGGGGTAAAAATTAATGCCGATTTTTTTTTGCCTCCGACACGTTTAACATAATGATTCTTATTTATTATTATTTTGTTTTACATGAAAATATGGGCATCCTTACCTACATATAGTGAGTGTGCAACAAGATAAAATACCTTAGGAAAAGTTCATTAAAAATTGCACAGTAATTAATCGTTGAAATGCCAAGGTTGCAGGGTGAACTATGAGACCACGGATCAAATTGGAGAGAAATATCTTTATAGTTCTGTGGTGATTATATTCTCCGAAAAATTTATATGTGTGGTGGTGATTAGTCAAATAGAAGCCTTTCTAAGCCCCTCTATGAGGCCATGCAATATGCTGAGTTGATCTGTTCTAATAATGACAAGGATCATAGAAAGCTAATATAGCTGTATATCGAGGAGAACAATTATATAATAATCAAACTGTCAAGCATCTGTTATGACATAAAAATATTTTTAGAAGAAGATAGAGGTCCAACTGATCAAATTAGAAGCATAAATACCTTGCCACCAATAAAAGCACATGTATCTGCCGCAATTATACTGCTGATTGAAATCAAGGTTGCCACAAGACCGACTGTCCACTGAGTTTGGCCACCAAGAAGTATAGGCCATGCTGCTCCCACTCCTGCCAAAGCTACACTGCTTAGGAATTACCAATAGAAGCAGCACCAGTAAACCACCATAAAATCAGGCATACAATTGGAAATTTAAAAGCAAGGTGTGTGTGTGTGTGTGTTTGAGTGGTGGGTGGGTGGGGGACAGGGGGTTGATGACGTTAACCTAAAAAAAAGATTTAAAAGAATAGATAGAGTAGCAAAAGTCCAATGTAGAGTGCTGTAAGAAGAAAATCCGTATTCTCAAAAAAGAAAAATTACAAAGCATTAAATTTATGTGTGCAAGAATGCTATGAATATGTGAAAAAACCAGTGTCATCACAAACCTAAATGGATGTTTAAGATTATTTAAGTCCCCATTCTAATCATCTTGTTTAAGCATATGATTTCAAGTGCGGAACAAGAATTGCAGAAAGGCATTCCAAGTTAATTGTCCAAATGTAGATATTTGTCCTCTATAAACACACACAAAAATTGATGCACTTCCTGTTTCTTAAAATCTTTCCAATATATTGGTTGTCAGGAGGCAAAACACATACACATATTGCATTAGTAATTTATTACAAGCAAATATACACACAAATATTTCAGATGAGCCTTAAATTATGGAATTCAAGTTAGAGAAAACTAGTGCTTGTACATTATGCTATAAATTACAGACTCCAGATTACTGTCTCTTACAGAAATTGATGCGTGTACATAATGCATTTGTGCATTCTACCCGTCTTTCCACTTTCAAACCAAAATCTTCATAAGCATTTCATAGGCCACCTTCAACAGTCTCGAAACAAGGCCACACCTCTTATTAAGACTACTCATGGATCCCATGCACCACAGCAATATTGTTCTTCATTGGCCTTGTTCCATAATGAACTCTAATTCAAGTCTAATTGGGAAGAAGATAGAGCCATGGATACAAATCCCATTATAGATACAGAATAGCTGGTCAAGAAATAGGGTCGTTACCTAGTGCAGTCCCCAAATCAAAGGTGCTGGGAGGGGTGGACAAATTATAGCCACAAAGTGGAGCTCTTAGGTTAGGAACACGAATTTCTCACACTTGATAGCATGAGCATTTTAACAGTGCACAAAGCAATGGCCCCAGATGAAGAATATATCATAAGTTTGAAAATTAGAGAGAGTAATCCAAATGAATGTCATTGAACTTCCCATTGAGTTTTAACTTCATGCATCTAATCAGTAAATTTAACATACTTGGATGCAATTTCCAAATGTCTAGCGCACAATGCCGGCTAAGCTAAGAGAATAAGTAACATCACACATTGCATCTCACAGGCTCACAGCTACAGCAAGCTTCAGGCCATCTTAAATTTCTTTCCCACAATGAAGCAATTCGTGATGGCATTTGCACTTAGTTTGATTACTCCAATGATGGAGTCATCCATCATGAGGATAGTGATAAGAGAAAACACCGCCCAAACCGGATTTGCACCCCAAAACAGCTTCCATGAACTCTAATCAGCCCAATCCTCAAATCCATGCCAACAGTTACATTTTCTGACAGAGTAAGAATCTACTTAAAGCTATTTGGAAGACATTGAAATTTAATTGAAGAGATACGATCACCACACACACACACACACACACACAAAAAAACTATCAGTCTAATGACATGGGGTAAGAGATGAGAGACCTCACCTGAAAGATGTTTGAGGTTCAAAACCTAAGCACAGGAGGTCACAGAGGTTTGTGATACTTGTATCATTTGGCAAAAGAGATGAATGTGATACCTAAATGGAGGTTGCATTAATGATAAAGATCTACGGAGAAACCGCTAAAAAAAGACAGAACATGTGGGAGGATCTGAACGAATTCTGCTTTGATTTCCACCGTATGGAGCACTGAGTTACTTCTATTACGGTCTTCGGCAGGCAGGCCGCCCTCTAGGCAGCTAGGAAGGCTCACTAGACTAATTGAATGTAGAAAGGTGATCCTAAAGAAAGAAAAAGAGTCCTTGACCCCTTTTTAGAGCTTATAAGGAAGGTCGAATTCCAAAACTTTTCTCTCAAATATACCCATTAGCTTACTCCAAGCTTCCTTTTTATGCAGGATTACAATAATACTGAAAAAAATGTGGATAGCATCGTACGATACAATACACATACCAGAAAAAGACAAAATGAAGGAAGAAGGATAAAATGTAAAGAAGAAAGTAAATTGAAAAACCATTTTTATCTATATCTACCGACTTAGAAATTCAGTAACTTCTCCATCTACCCAAGCTTTTTTTTTTTTTTTTTTCGACAAGTAAAATTTATTAGAAAGCGTTCAAAAGGGGAATGTGTCCCAAGCCATACACAAAAAGAAAGAGGAACCTATGAACTCAAAGAGCCCAAAAAGTCCACAATATCCTCAAGAGAAGAATAATCTCTCCCCCATGCCCAACAAAAAGAGTAAAAATAATAGAAAATTTCAGCACCCAAATGGAGGACTCCTTCCCATCAAAAGATCTTCTATTCCGCCCTTTCCAAAGGCTCCACCAAATGCAAAAAAGGGTCACCCTCCAAAAGTCTCTAGCCTGAGCCCCCACCCATTGGCCCCTCTAGATATCCAGCAACTCCCGTGGAGTTCGAGGCATCACCCAATGAATGCCAAATAAACTAAGAATAAGACTCCAACAGTCATGGGCCACAGGACAATGCAACAGAAGGTGATCGACGGACTCCCCAAACATCTTACAAAGACAGCACCGATTGACAATGTTATGTCTTCTCTTCCTCAAATTGTCCAAAGTCATAATCTTACCCCAAGCTGCGGTCCACACAAAAAAGGCAACCCTAAGAGGCACCTTAGACAGCCACACCGTCTTCCACGGGAAGGTGGTACCATGAAAACCAGAGAGACACACAAAAAAGGACCGGACCTGGAACATCCCCTATGTAGAAGGCACCCAAGTCAGGGAATCCGCACCAGTGCCCTCCATCTCCTGTCTATACAAGAGAGTCAACAAACCAGTGACATCATCCAACTCCCAATACTAAAAAGATCGTCGGAACCGCACATCCCAAGACAATCCCCCGCTATCAAGGCAATAGCAGTCAGCAACCATAGCATATTTGTCAATAGCAGTCCTGAACAGCCTTGGGAACAAAAGAGACAATGGCCTATCCTTGCACCAGGTATCCTCCCAAAACCGGACATTCTTTCCATCCCGAACTCTGAATCTAATATGTTTGGAGAACTCATCCCACCTCTTCCCAATGGACCTCCACACCCCCACTCCACCAGCAGACCTGACTGGCCTAGCTGACCACCCCCCTCTCTCCTCTCCAAAACGACAAGAAATGACCTTTCTCCATAATCTATGTCTTTCACTGCCGAACCTCCAAAGCCACTTGCCTAAGAAAGCACTGTTGAAAGGGGCCAATCTCCTAATCCCAAGCCCTCCCAACTGAAAAGGCCTGCAAACCTGCTCCCACTCAACCCAAGCTAACTAGACAAGATGACCTCAAAAGGGATTTAGTAAAGAACCTTACGATATTTATCCATAAAATTCAGAATATATGGAAATTAATTACTTAAACTGATGCATATGCACAAAGCTAGACATATTGCTTGCATTTTTAGAACATACTGTAGTGCCAGTTGGACCTCAATAAGCATATCTACTACGAGGGTGTTTTTGAACATAAATGAGAAATAACCACGAAATAGACCTTATTTACTAAAGTTTGATATTGACAATTCTACATAACAAGCGTAGAGGGTAGAGGGTTCAAGTCCTCATAGGGGCAAAGTGGGTGTTTGAGTATCAAATAGTAAATATATATATATATATATATATATATATATATATTGCCTGAATAACTAATTTGCTGACAGATAAAAATATTGCCCATATACTTACTGGTATTTAAGGCAGGGGCTGCCAAACCACATCGAAGCTTAACCCAGAAACAAGGAAGGTAACCACAATAGAATAACCCAAACATGGCACTACTGAGCTGAGCAAAACGAGGATTTTCCCTCTGTAAAAGCAATGCCATAGCAACTACGAAAGCGGCAGATGTTACCGAGACATCAATGTTACCAAAGTACCTGACAATAATTAGAAATACTGATCAGTGAAGCAAATCCACGGAAAAACATGAATATTCCAGGTCATAACAATTAAGTTCCCAGTTAAAAGTTACACGCATAAGAGGGGAGGGGAACATTTACTTAACCCCAAAAAATCCCTTTATCAAGGTCTAATAATTATAATACAGGCATTGTGCGTGCGTGCATGCACTATGGATATGCAAAGACAGGCTAAATAAGTTAACTTGTGCACTCGGCACTCCATATTAATATTTGAAGCTTAATATTAAATATTTATATCTCCAGCATCCAGTTGTTAAATTTGGTAGCACAAATTATGAGTGTATCCTATGAATGGAGCAAAAGAAAATTAAATAAATAAACATCATACAAGATTCGGGATTGAATTCCCACAAGAAGTGAAAGTATTATTAACAAATCTTACAGTGTGAGTATAGGCATGAGAGCACAGATAACAGAACAAACTCGTGATACATATCGAGGAGGAGGAGTCATTCCTGTAGCGATTCCACGACTTCTAACCAACTCAAAGTACTCCCGCGCACCAACAAAAACAGCAGCAGCAATAACCACCGTGAAAACCCATCCTCCAGCCAATACTACACCTCCAACAGATATTCCGATGCCTAGTCCAAAAACAACTCTTTTCCTCAATTGACTTGCTTTTTGTTGGCTCTCAGAAGCTGAATCCTTCATCAATGGTCCATCAACTTCCTACAACATACCAATCTAAGTGATTCTATTCAATCATCCATGCAGGCTTAGAAAAAAGCATTGTTCTTATTAAACAAAATGCAGTTAATTTCACTCTCAGAAATTCCTAAATTATTACTCGACTTCAAAATTTATCACTAGATATTCATCAAATTAACGAAATAAATATTCATTATGCACATTACAATAATTCACAACTAGTTTAACATTTTTTTACACTACAAAAATTTGAAGACATAAAGTAAATAAAAGTATGATAAACTACTTAAATTAAAACTTAATTTGTACTCATACGTAATATATTTGTATATGAAGAATTCAGAAATAACAAAGGAAATGACTCAATAAGAGTATGTATAATTCTAGAATTTCTTAAATTATTTAAAATATAAAAATACATGATAATAATTTAGAATAAGTTACGGGACAATTTAACATGTCTACTCTTCTTACTGTATTTCTAATATGACAAACCAGCTAATTGACATTCAATACCCAGACTCCATGGCAAAACTATTTGGTATTCCACATTTCCCTTCCATGCTTAGATAAGTACCTCCTACGTGAAATTATTAGAATGTGTAGAATAACAAGAAGTATTTCTAATTTTTATAACGTACATCACTTTATTTTATTTATTTTTCTTTTCTCTATACCGGTTTCGAACCATTGACCTTGAGATTGGGTGTTTAAACACAAACCCACTAGGACAAAGCTAGACCAGTACATACATCACTTAATTTACTCTAAATTTCAAAATTCAGGCTTCTATAAACTGTAGTCAATACCTAGCTCTTGAATTCTAAAATTTTCCAATGCCAATTAACTTCAGAATACTGAAGTTGCAACTATGAGTACAGAAGTTCGCAAAAAAATTGTCATTTCAAAGTAAATTCAAAATATGTGTGTGTGTCCAACATGCAAAGCAAGTAATAAATACAACCATTGTTTCAATTTTTTTTAACGCTCCATAACTCTTCCTCAGCCAGGCTTGGCTTTGGCAGAATAGCATTCATTTGCATGGCTAAAGCCAGTATGCGAAAAATCACTTGAATTCATAACTAAGGTTACTGCTCTGAGCCATCAACACGACAAACTTTAGTGATCCTATATTTGGATGCCAAGAAAACCAAGGAAGACAAAATGTTTAATATCATATCTAAACCCTTTAAAACTTCCAGAACATTTAGAAAAGGAAAAAAAAAAACACTCCAACTAAAGCCAAATAGCTGAATTCTATTCATTTGACTAGTGTTGTGATATTTGGCATCTAAGGGGAGAGTTAAAAAAAAAATTCAAAGAAGAGTAACTCATTTATAGAGGTTAGATTTTTCACCTCACCCAAGTACTCACAGTACTCAATTAGGCCTAGTACAACTTTACACCTCAGGGGAGCAGAAATCAAAATACCATTAAGCATATCAATTTCTAGTTTCTTTTTCTCAGCAACCAAACAGTTCGAGAACACTGAAAACAGAACAACTTTCGAGGAATGATTTTTTCAGATAGAGGTTTCCAGAAAACACATAACTGACGAAATTTTAGAATTGATATGATGTTATCTGTTCTTATTATCTTTTGGCTAATTTTGCACTAAACCCGTTTGCCACTTTTTCAATAATACACGGGTGTTCTTTTTTTTTTGATAGTTCAGGGAGTATTGCCACAAAGTGACAATAATTCAGGGGGTTTAATGCAATTTAATTCTGAGATAGAAGAACCTAACAATCCTTTAATTTTTTCCACGTTTTCTCTGAAACCAAACACAGGGTACAAGTGACAATAATTCTGAATAAGACTAATCCGAACTCTACCTCTTTGGTTTCGCCTTCGTCGATACGGTCCGGTTCGGCTCTGGCCACAGCCTTGATTATCCGATGATGATTAAGCGAAATGCCCCTTTTAAGTCGGACAATGCGTCTCGATGATTCATCAAAGAACACTCGGAGATTCAAATTCGAATAAGGAGGGGGAGTGAGAATTAGGGTTTTGGATGAGGAAGAAGATGGAAAAGGACAACGAGACCGGCAAGAGCATAAAGAATTTAGAGAGAGGGAAGTGAGATTGCATCTATAGATTTCAAGAAGAGACGCCATTAGAAATGTTTGGTACTTTCAGGGGCTAATAATATACTTACATAGCTAATGGAGACAGCGGAAGTTTCATAGTATAGACCAGAGAGAGAGCGGGGTTTCGATGGTTTCGGTGCTGTATCCGGTTGTCACTCGCAGTCAGGTATATAACTTACTGTAAACTCCATTTTCAATTTTTAGAAAAAAAAAAACCTCCAAATTAGCTGAATGAGTTACTTTTTGACATTTGGCCTAAAAATACACCAACAAACCAAAGTATGCTGCATATGTATTTAATTAAAAAAATTTCTTTTTCTTTCTTAAATAATATTTGAATTTATAATTTTTTATTACATTTATCACAATCCTTTAAATTAAAATAAAACTTAATTCCTCAACTTGGGGTTTTGACTTGATGAGGTATTTAAACAAAAAGTAATTCCTCAATTACTACGTTTATATATATATATATATATATATATATATATATATTCAAGGCAAGAAGCACCTCACTTGCTCCAATATGGATTTCAACTTTTAATCTTTTACTAGGCTACACATCTTTGATATATATATATATTTAAAAGATAAATTTCCTGCAAAATTCTACGAGAGAAATTGATGAGTATTGAGGCTACACAATAAAGGGTGAGACGAAAATACTTTTTCCCATTTCTCATTCTTTATGAGGTTGTCTTTTTACATGATTTGAGAACATAAAATTAACTAAAAATGCATTATCCAACAAGCATAAAGATTTATGTTACAGAAGAAAAGAAAAAAAAAAAAAAAAAAGACGATTTTATTTCAATTTATAAAAGCTGGATTGAGTATAAATTTAATTTTATTAATGTGGATTTTTTATTTTATATAGTATTTTTTGTCGGCTCAAACCTTAGAAAGAAACTAATTGGACACCATTCAAATTAGTTCAGTTTAGACAGTCTATTGAAATAATTCAATTTCACAGAAAAAGAATAATTTTCAATCTTTGAGATTGGTGATCTAATAACATTTTAATTGATTTGATTTTTTATTTTTTTTCTTAAATTAAAAATCGAGGATGTTACGACCGACTCCACAATGATGGCACCAATTAAATCAAAAGTTATAATGGAGCGTTGGAAAGTCGAACCCTGGACATGTTAGAACCAGGGTCCTTTCCTCAATATTTGCTATATGATATGATTTGATACGAGGGCTTAGGATGTTGTTGAATGTGACTCAGTACTTCCTATATGATTTCATGATAGTGACAAAAGTCATTCAATAGGTTAGCCCCCAGCTAGAAGCTTAGTTCATTTATGGTAAAGGTTTCTTGTACATGACATCAAGAAAATATAGGCTAAGTGTCTTTTAGTGATGATTTGAGAATATAGACTTCACTAAAAATGCTTTATCGAAACAAGCATAAAGAAAATTTCATTTAATTGCCAAAATAAATATATATATATCCCCAAGTAAGACTTTAATCGAACCGTCCTTAGACTAATATATAACTTTCGTAGCCAACCTTTCAATATGTATTTTAAAATTTTAAGAATCCTTCAAGTTCATCCATTTAAACGCAACCCATGTAATTAACATGTGAACAAATTTTGAGCATTTCAATTTCAACCCTCAATCTGATCATAACTAAAAAAACTGACTCAAAACGGCAATTAAATTTGTCAACAGAAGAATCAAAAAAAGAAACTCAGATTCCCAATTTGAAAAACGACTTCTAAACAGAGGATTTTAGAAACCCCATGAAAATAAAAAATAAGAGAGAAAAATTAATGAAGGATTTCTTTAAGTTACCAAGGCATGTTAATAAACCCAATTAGTCACACAACGAAAGCCCATTGGAGTCTCTGCCCAGTGTCCAGGCAATTACATAACCCATCATCAAACCCGATTGAACATTTTTTTTCTAAAGTCAATTACAAAGCTAACACAAATACAAAAGCTCTCCCCTACCAGTCACACACTTGTCTTCTCCAAATGTTCTAAAATCTTTTAAACAGCTTGAGGAGCAACAGATGAAGAAGAAACAACACAAGGCACACTCCCCTTCCATCATGTCTTCTTCATAAGATACCCCAAAAGAAGGCCCAGCAAGCCAACAAGAACGACGTATATAAAGGATATACCACCGCGGTTTCTCATGCCTTGATGCCTCAAAAGCTCCTGCAAGTAGCAAACACCGAGAGTAAGTTCTTAATTTAAGAGGGCTTCTATAGTTCCATCACTCAAACCACAAGTCATATTTTGGATGTAAGCAAATGAAATTCACCATTTTTTTTTTATTCTTTTTTTTTGGAAGGTAACAATAAAAGAAAAGTACCAACAGGCCAGTGGTCTAGCGATACCAGGCCCCTACTTTTCAAAGAGACGTTAGTGGTTCGAGCCTCAGTGGAGGCATGTGTGTGTGTGTGTGTGTGTGTGTGTGTGTGAGTACCAACTAGGAGAAAAAAAAAAAAAAAAAAATGGTCTGTATTCTGTGATAATGTTCAGAGTCAAATGGAGTACCAACAAAAACTATGCTGTAAATCTTGTATTGCACCTCTTCGAGCACAATCATATTAATACAATTATATTTATTTATCAGAATACAGAATAACCACACAACAATTTGTTGACGGTTTTTCCTATTCTGTTCCACAATGGACAATATTATTGCTTCTACAGCTTAGGCAAACCAATGCCTGAACGTTTAGGCCAACAAACTCTTAAAAAAGATGATCTGTTATAATATCCAAGCCAATAAAATGGAAGAATAAAAAAAGCTTCGTAGACATCATGACATTATTTTAATGATTTTATCTACAGATTTTGCAATACTGTTCCACAAAGAGAATTAATCTTCTCCAGCTACACCAAATCAATGTTTTGGCCACAAAATAAATACTAGTAATATTTAACATTTGAGGAATCTGAAGCCCTCTTTTCCAGGAAAAGGTTAAACAAAAAAACTCTTCTTCTCCATGGCATCTCTGTTCTTTTCTTTCTCAAATCCACTACCCTTGGTACACACGGTTTTTCGGACATGGCTTTCTATAGCATAATCTATTCCAGAAGGATGTGTTTGGTACAATTGGGTGGAATCTAGAGGCACAAAACCATAAATGCAGTTCATGCTCTTTTTTGGGGGTTTAATTATCTGAGTGATATTTTATAACATACACACACACATATATACATTAGAAAGAAGAATCTGGGAGTGGGTGATAATATGACATATAAAAATGTACTTATAAAAGAGTTTGGGTTGTTATAACTGTTGCTGGTATGAATTGTATACATATAAATTTTTTTTATTTTTTTTATTTTTTATAAGTAATATATTGTATTGTATATTGTATACATAAAATATATTATGATCCGGGTGACATAAAATAAGTGAGAAATTAGGCTTCATGGCGTAGAATTGGTTTGCTCACAGGATGTGCGGCAGTGGCAGGAAGAAACAGATGTAAAACCTTAACAGAGTGTATTATGCATACGAAGTAGAAAATATGTTACCTTTTTTATCTAAAATTCAATAGCTTCTGTGTCTAATATTTGATTTATTGGGAGGTCCGGGAGATATGAAATATAATGTCAAACCTTTTTCGATTTCAGAATAGGGTCACATAAATTTACAGTAAACTAAATGCATTACTACACATACGATGCACCTTTTTTAAAATAAAACAAAATAATTTGGTGAACTTCAAACTGGTGAAACAATGAAACCAAGTAACACATAGTATCATTTAATGGCTCTACCAAAGCCCTTGGCAAATACACTGATGAGATGGCTTTCCTTTTATTCTAGAACTTTTTAGCATTTTTGTAGATTTTTCTAGGTAAATGAAAATTAGTGGTTAATTCATAACTATTTTTCCAGTACAAAGAGGTTTAAAAGTAAGAAAAATTGTTTCAAAATTATCCCTTACCAATTCTTGCTGAAGCTTGTTATTCTGCTGAATAGCAGAATTTCTCTCCTCAGTCAACTTAGAAATAATAGCTCTTCCCTGAAAGCATAGGAAGTTTCTTAACCACACGATATCAATGTTTGTAATCAAAATCACAGCAATAATATATTAATTTACTGAATAATATAACAACAATTCATTCACAAAGCTAGGAAATTGAACATTATTCATTTTTAAGACAAATTCTACAAAGAAAAGCGTAAATGAACAGGTTATACGTGGAGTGTGCCTCCCAATGACTACCAAATAAAGCTACGAAAATTATAATGGAGTCAAAAGCTCCAAAGCAACGTGAAAAAGAAAAAAATAAAATAAAATCATGAAGTACAAGAAGACCAGTAATGATTTCAAGAAACAGATTCTTTCTCTTAGCCTCACTCAGCATTTTAAAAATAGATATAACATCCTTAACTCACCATCTAAAAACAGAGTGCACCAACACTCAAATACAATTCAAGTGAAACTAACATGCTGATAATATAAAAGTGGAAAACTTATGTTCAAATGAATGAGTTTGCATCAATAGTTGAAAGTTCATGCACTGAAAAGGGAAAAAGGTTCATGAAGAAATGATAAAATTAAGAGGAAAAAATAGTGTAAGCATTCTTGGATTGTATACTTACAAGTAAATCCAAATAAAAAATAAAAAAAATGTTCGTGAATCAGTACATGGCCCAAATAAGATCTTCCTAAATATGATGCTATTTTGCTATATAAAACAATGCTGCATGAGGAAAACAACAGCCAAAGAATACACTATGAGCAACACAGAGTTATTTAATATAAGAAAATACACCTAAAAACTCAGTTCCAAAACAGTGAAACCCTTAAAACTCACAAGCAATGCTTATGGCAAAATAACATTGAATCCGCCCTTACCTAAGAGCTAACTGTTATAAACCTTAACATTCCATTATTCCACAATCAACAATTTGCTCTGAGCTTTCTAAGAGTCATTATATATTTAAAATTATAAAATATACACCTGCTGGATCACTATGATGTTCCAAAGCAAAGATTTCTGTTAAATCCATGAAATTCATATTACTAACCAATAAGGATGCAATGAGGAAAACAGTAACACAGATAAACTTGACAACGCAACTCCCCTATCATACAATTTAGACATGAATCTATAGTAACAATGTAAAACCCAACACTTAATGCAGCATGATATATTGTAGACACGAATTTACGATAACAATGCAAAATACAACATGTGATAAATTACTGTTCTCAATGCTTTACCATATGGCACATTGGCAGCATATAAACAATGATCCTATTATCAAATAGGTCAACTCAACTAACAAAAACTTATTCCATAGGGTTGCCTGTGACCCTATTATGGTATTCAGCCCTATCTAGAACAAAGAAAAGAGCTTTGAGATTTTTTTGTAGAAAAAAGATGCCACATTTATCCCACCAAGAAAGGTTCACACTACAATGGATGATAAGTGTGATATAAATAAGACAACAGAATATGATTATGATTCCAAAATTTGATTAATTACTTTAATTTCTATCTTCCAGTACCAGCTGTTAACTTCCTTTGCCATTTTTATTAAAAAAGCAGCAGCGCCCCCACCGCCGTGGGGGGGGGGGGGGGGGGGGGGGGGGGGGTTGTTGGAGGGAAGAAGATACAATTGTCAATCAAAACACAGAAGAGGATACTTATCCAACTACACATTGCTCGGTTATTTTTGTGCAATGTACATTGAATTAGAATCTTATTTACACAGTTTAGCAACAACTATACAAGCAAAAAGCTCTGAGCGAAAAATTAATACAAAGTACAGCATAAGTAATGCTGGCAGAAGTATAAAAATGAACTTATTAGTATTCGAAACTCAGAGCTTCCAGCATAAAACCATTGTGTGGAGATGCAAAAAAATGAGAATCAGCAGAAGGCATTTGAATAAAAAGCAAACAGTACTAGTGCCTTGGGAACTAAATGACTAGATCAGCTGAGCAGCTCTTTGAGAACATAAAGCAATCTAAAACAAACTTTCATTCATTTTTATGACATAGATATTGCATCTCAGACAAGAAGAAAAAAAATACATCATTAAAACCAAGCTCAATGTGTAGAGCAGCATATAAAAAATGAAACTTCCAGGTACAAGGAGCAATTCCTAGACCTGAAATATCAGCCCGGCAGGAAACTATATTTACATTTTATATTCACACATTTTTATTTCTAAATGACAATGCAATTTCTATAATCCTGTATAACCCCCTCCCTTAAGGAAAAGTAGAGATCTAAAATAAAAGAAGAAAAAATCAATATCAAAAGACAAAAAAGTTGAAGAAAATGTCTACCATGTATTCATTTGTGTGCACTAAAACAAGAGGGGGAACCCTAAGATTTGCCTATTTCCAAATCACAGGATATGGAAAAAGCACTAAATCATAAAAGATTCCATAGTGTAACTACATAAATGCATAGAATTTAAATATACAAGACAAGTGAAATTGATGAAGGAACAGGGCAGCAAAACTATTATGATCAGTCCCTTTTTTCACAACTGCAGGGGAAAAGGGAAAAAAGTGAAAGATATGACTGCATTAGTTCGTAAAATACATTTTTCAAAAATGGCTAATTTGCATATGAATAATGATCTATAAAAACAGCTTTTTATTCAATTAAAACCTATATCTTACTTTGTCCATCTGTAAAAGGATGAAACCCTAGACCCAACTATATCACCACCACCAACTGCTTTTGTTCACCTCTGACAGTTTATTTTCTCTGTGTATAGTGATGACAAAAGGTCACACAGACGGATGCTCTGATGTCTTCTTTTCCACTTTAAAACCCTTTGTTACTCATCAACAACTAGTTCATCTACTTTGGAAACAACAGGAATGTCCCAAGGGTAAATCTTCACTTCAAACAATCAAATTTAGACTTGGATCCAGAAAGCCTTAAATCTTAACTCAGTTAAACACCTTCCTTGGGCAATCAGGCAAGTCCATGTATACCCAAGGTAGAGTGAAATAAAGGGAACGACATTAACAAAAAGGAACTTGCGCAACCATGATTCTACCCCTAACAGGAAATCTCTTGTTTTCCCTGTTCTTTTTCATTTTTCTTTTTTGGTGGGTCTCAATTAAAAGAAACTAAGTGGTGAAGTGACAAAATCCAAAAGGGCTTCAGAGCAAAGTGGTTCTACTGAAAGGCTTGGGAAAAGATAAGAACATGAGCGATGTCAAAATGCTATAACAAATTGAGAGGGGGAGAGAGAGAGAGAGAGAGAAACCAAGTCATTGTGTGATTCTATATACAATAACTTGGATACAAGAGGAAGTTCCAAAGGTGCACAGAGACTTGCATAGAAGAGTTAAGAACAAAGCTCCGGAAATATTAGATGTATAAGGGAATGCACAGAGAATAAAATTAATCTGAACGACAACTATAGTGTTAAGAGAAGTCAATTATTTATAGATATTGTCAGACACAGAAAATGAAATACGCTTCTGGTAACTGGCCTCGGAGAGATTATGGTAATGCATGCCAACATAGAATATGGTTATTGAGCTGAAGAACCAAGTATTAGCAAAGATGAGGAAAAGGACTAAATGTTATCCTAATAAATATTCTACTAAAAATTTGTAATATGAAAGGGAGAATTAAACTAATTACGTATTAGGCCAAAGGAAATGGTTGTAAGATATACAAACATCTAGCAAATGTTAAGATATTCAAGATACCAATGAATCTTTACAATTAAATGGTTGAACAAATGAAAACTGTTATAAAGAGAAACAGAAGTGAGTCTACCAATCAGATGTTGAAAGAAGCAACACCTTAAGGCTGACAAAATCTTTTACTCAGGATGGAACACATCAATTGACTAGTATAGTCATATTAACAAATATTCAAGACATTCAAACACAGGTTAAATGTGGTTAAGTACAATTTTCTTAACAAATAATACATGAAAAGCCACAAAATATGTCTCCAGACTCGAGGACTAAAACCAGGAAAGGTTAAATTTATACCTCTGATGACTGCTCTTGAGGCTCGACGAATGCCCTTGAAGCCTGCAAATAATGAACAAGCATGTCATAATTAACATGGATTAGAAGGTTTTTAAAACATAAAAATAACTTCTTTAGAATTAAAACACTAAAAAGACATCACAGATACTGACAACAGTAAATTCAGCCATGTTTACAGTCCCATTTTCCGATACTGAAGCCCTTGGCGAACCTTCCTCTGATCCCTCTCGCACAGGTGATGGTGGTTGTGGAGGTGAAACATACGCCACTCTCAATTTGCACTCCTCAACCTGATTCCCTGACTCCTTGTTGAACTATATTTCAAGAAAAAAGCAAAAAATAAAATAAGAAGTAAACTCACTTATAAAACCAACAAATTGTGCTTCAGATTCTCAACCTCATATTTGAAATATGGTCACGTATATAATTACCATCTCTGGAGTTATATCCTTTGTGGTGGCTCCAGGAGGTGCAACTGCACTTTGAAGTAGGAACTTGTCCTTGCATTGCAAGTCAGGAGGAGCCTCCTTTTGTGCTTGCATGGTAACTAAACAATATAATTTCAAAATTAATCAACAGATTGAGAGATAGATACAAGAATTCAAGTGCAATTGACTGACAAAGAGGAGATAATTGAACACAAAATTCACAATCATTCATAATTAAACAGAGAAAAAAAAAAGAAAAAGAAAAAAAGAAGAGGAAGTGAAAACATTGAAAATTAAAAACAGACCTATAACATCACAAGTAGAGTGTGGCAACACAATTCCAGTGTTAGGCCGAACACAGTACTTCTTCGGATTCGTGGTCTTCACCTGAAAAACCAGAAATTCAAATCAAAATCTTACATTGCTACTTTCCTAGGGCACGATTAATCCCAAAACAAACAAAGCAAAACTGGAAAATCAAATAAAAAATAAATAATAAATAAAAAATAAAAAAAGAATACCTTGAAAGCGACATACTTGTCGGTCTTATTAGTTAATTGCAGAGAACACGAGATCTGCTTCTTCAGTTCAACTTTCGACAACAAAAACACAAATCAGTGAAAAACACTCAGACCAGAGAAGGCAAAAAAACACAGATCTGAACGCAATAGCAAATCCTCCAATAAAAAGGCCCCAAATTTTCTATACTAGAAAGCAAAATTATTCAAAGATAAAAGTTACATGGAAACTGAAGCTCCTGAGGTTCGATGCTGAGAAGCTCTCCGGTACTCATCGCGAAGCGATCGCTGAGAGATCGCCGGAAATTGAAGCAAACAGTGGGCTTCCGGCGTGGGGAGGTGGTTTTCCGATTCCGTCGGACGTGTAAATAAAATTTGGGGGCAAAAGATTTAGAGAGAGAGAGAGATCTGGAAGGTGTCCGATTTTCGAATTTCGGCAATGTCTGGTTTAGAGAGAGAGAGAGAGTGTGTGTGCGTATGTGTGTGCTCAAAGAAAAAAGAGGCGATGTGGGACAGTGTCGTTGTCGTTTGTCCCTGTCCTCCCGAAATGCGTTTATATACGGTAGTTGCTTTAAAGTTTGTTAGGTTCTGTCAAAGGTAATTGTAATTTGTTCTTTAAGTCACGTCATGTGTTTGTTAGCATGAATTGATAAATTTTACTTCACACTACAATTTGTATATTAAAGAATAAGTTACACTTACTAGAATAAAATTGTAAGTGATGAATAATTCAATTTGAACATTTTAGCTTTAAATAAGTATAAAAAGTTTTTGGATTGGTAATTAGTACTAAATATTTTAATGATTCCAGGTATTCAAACACCACTTTCAAGTCTAAACCTCTATAGGTGGATGCATCATTGCCCTCATCATTTTGAGTTCAATGCACTAATAATCTCATACAAATTGAATTGAGAAATTACAAAATCTTTTTTTCAATTTTCGATTGAAAAAATGAATATGTAATGGATATACATAAAATGATAGAAGGCAATAACACGCTTGTTTCAAATTTCATGATTTTTTGTGATGAGGTGGGCTCCTTGAAAGTTTATGGTTTATAATTAGGTCATTAAGCATAACTAAGTTGGCTATGTTTTGGACGGAAATTATTCAAATAATTATATGAAATGTAATGAAATTTAATCAAATAATCCAGTTTATGGAATTTTTTAAAATAATTCCATGAAATGTAATGAAATTTAATCAAATAATCCAGTTTTATGAAAAATTGGGCTATTCATTATTCAAATAATTCTATGAAATTAATAAAATTTAATTAAATAATCAAAAAATTGCACTGTCCATTATTCAAATAATTCTAATAAAATTTAATCGAATAATTCAGTTTTTATGAAAAAAATACACTGTCCAATGGTTATAAATTGAAAAATAAAACACTTGCTAATTAAAATGTAGCATATCATGTCTAATGGAATAGATGAATTATTATTTTCGTAATTAAATTATATGATACTTATCCGAAAAATGAGGCATAGCACAGAAGATAAAAAAGAGGACCCTACCGGTCGGCTAAGGCACATTCTTCACTTTTTAAGAATCAAGAGGGAACGTAAGCATGGGGGGAATGTTTTATTTATCCAACAAGTTTTGGTTCGTAAATAGATATGATGGCGTTCACGAAGTTTTGCAAAGGAAAAAGATACCAAACCAAGAAATGGAAAGCAACGCCACACCAATTCTAATATATATTAGTGGTTGAATTTAAACAAAATATGAAATATCAGCAAACTTAAATAGCAATTAATAACCATCACAATAAAGATGAGTGGGACTTAGCCAGAAAGTATTATTTCAAGTAGCTCAAATGCCTGTAGCCAGACAAACACTTTGCCACCATCTTCCCAAAACATTATGAGAATTCCAGACTCAGATCAGCACCACCGCAACAGGGTTTAACCAAATGTTTGAAGAAAGATGAGGGACAAGGACACTTCTTTCAACATCTTTGCTCAGTTGCCGGGCTACAAATATATCCACCAACTCCTTGGTGTGGCCGCCGGCGGGTGGGGGAGACGAAGCCATCTTTGTAGACGGTGATATCCAACATTGTTGCATATGGTTTTATGGTTTTGGCATCCCGAGTATTACAGTGTGAATCAATGTCGTCCCTCGGACCCGGACGATAGGGAACAACAACTCTCGCACTGAGCTTTCCATCAATGCTTTTCCATTTTTGCACATCTTCATTTTCTCATCTCAGGGGTTTTCTCAAATTCTTCTCTTTGGAAATTATGAGCATGAATGCCAAGCAATACAGTAACAAATAAGAAGAGTAAAGCAAAGTAGATCATTGAATGATTCAAACGGAACGAGAAAATATTGGGTCTAGACTTGCATACCATTAATTATAGGTTGTTTGAACTTAATGTTTTTCCATTTTTTTGGTCCAAAATACTAAAATTTATTTTAGTACAACCATATACCGTGCGAGACAAATCAACAAGGTCTGGACATACTCTCTCCCATCACTTACAGACAACTCTACCATGAAATGCGCTCATGAAAACATACCTAAAAAGCTATTTATAATTAAAAAGCAAACTGCAGTATGTATATTTATCGTCTTCTTCTTCTTCTTCTTCTTCTTCCCGATGAAAAAAGGGAGGGGTCTTTTTTTATGCATGATCACACCTACAAATATATTATTGTATACAAAGAGACATAATCACACCTATAAATATATTATTGTATACAAACAGCCACAATCTAAAAATTAATTATACCTTAACCAGTGAAAAAGTGGGCGAATGATCCGTGCTTTTTGAATGTGATAGATCTCAGTGGCTCGTATTAAAGAACCACCTTTTGAAATCTTCACTATTAACAAATATTAATTACCATCAACTAAAGCAGAAGCTTGTTGTCGACGAGCACGGGTACTGAAGCCAGCATACCAAGCTACCCTCATGAGCTGCACACCAAGGATCAGCACCCACCAACACACTAGCCCGCGAATCGTGTGCATCATCCAAGCTGGTGCACTGAGCTCAGCACCTAGCTTCAGCCCCCTCATCAACTGCAAAACACGGTAAGCTTCATATATAACCGGGGTCACCAACCACACTGGTGATTGCCAATGCCATGTAAGCATCTCCGTGAGCATTTGTACTGATAGAAGCAAAAGGTAGGGACCCAACAGAATAGCATATGAAATAGAAGGCAGCTGAGGTTGGAGGAAGCCCTTGTGGGAAACAAACAGCATTACGAAGGGGAAGATAAAACCCATTGTGGTTGCAACCATGTTCCAGAACCGATAACTAAAAGGAGCCTTGCTGCTGCAAGCTTCGGCAGGGTTTCTCGGACGCGCACAAGAATCAGCCATGAGGAGAAAGAGAAATGTACCAAGATTAAAAATGCAGTCAAGTCCTGTCAAGGAAAGAAGGCTGGCTATGTTAGGGCCGATGAAAATGGAAGTTATGGGCAACCACAAGGTGGGTGCCATGCCAGTGGCAAGGAGAACAGAAGGGCCCAGAAGCCACATGGGCCACTTAAGGTAATGAAGCTGCATGGATGTCTGATTGCTTGCTTCTGTAAGTTCTTCAACATTGGTTACTGGAGCTTTGGCTGCCTTATCAGAATTCAGGGTTTCAAAGATATTTGTAGTTCCCTTCAGGAAGTCACCTCCTCCAGCATCATCGGTGGGAGCATATGTGACAGGTGAGGGTTCCCATGGAGACAAATTTGAACAGCAAACAGGGACACGCCTAATCCTTATATGAGGAAAGGTGCATCCATTGGGTGCATTTGGGAATTTCCACAATTTCAGGCTCCTGGAATGGACTAGGGGAAAAGTAATAGTTGACATAGTAGATAAGGGTTGGGCTAGAGATGCCATTCCTTGGTGCACGAGCTAAAACCGTAGCAGCTTTGAGGCACAGCTGTGCATGCAATTTATCTGAGAAAAAACAAAGAAAGTTCTAGTTACAAATTGTAACAGATAAAAATATGATGAACTACTGCTCCCTTTGTTAGAACACAAATCATTATATTTTTGTGATACAGCAGTAATCTTTGGTTCATAAATCACAATTCATTCACAAAATTAGAATAGAAATTTTACAAGCTGGTGATACAAAGGTTTCAGGCCATTCTCATGCTAGAGAAAGCATACCTCTAACTCCTCAAAAAGTACGATAGGAATTATCTTTCTAAAATACATTCACAACAGTTCAAGGGAATCAAAAGTAAAAAATCAGAGTCGAAAATGGTAGCGCAGAATTTTAAAGTTGTATGCAAAAGGGACATAGAAATGGATGACAAAATAAAACAAATATTCTTTAATTGAGGTTCCATTCTTTTCTATTTTCTTTTTAATTTTATTTCTGTACCTTTATTAGCATAGCTAAACTATACGTTAGTGCAGACCCAACTGCACCCATAAACCCTAGCCTGCCTAACAACAAAGCAGATTAATGATATAGAAATGGATGACAAAACCTAACAAGTATACTTTAATTGAGGGTCCAGTCTTTTATGTTTTCTATTTAAAAAAATTTGTTTCTACACCTCTATTAGCATATCTAAACTATAGGTTAGTGCACACCCGACCACACCCATAAACCCTAGCCTGCCTAAAAATGAACCAGCTTAAAGCTCACTGATTTCAATCTACGTGGTCGATATATATTATGCAATTAGGTCCAGGTCTAAGTGTCTAACTACCAAGTACCAAATCCTATTCACGAACAACTGAGCTCCCTACTTCAGAGATCATTCTGTGCAATGAACTATGACTTAGGTAGGCCAGAATAAGCATATGGACATTAACAATAAATTTTACCAAAAATACATCAATCCAGAACAAACAGATCAAGCTCCACTGCCACATCCCTGATAGCAACATATGACATCGAAAGGCATTGAGTCAAGGTATTTAAATCAAATTCAAAAATAGTGAAGAATATTGACATCCAGATCCAATAATATCAAACACACAAGATACATATCGGTTAATGATGCTTTTAGACTTGAGAAACCCAACAATAAGTGGCAATTTGAACAATAAGCCAGAAATTTTTGGACCTCTTGCATCTAAATGGAGGCTAATAGTATGTGTTATATTATCATACAAACACAAGATTAGTCAAATAGTTATGGGTAACTTATGTTTATCAAATATTAGATGTTATATACTATCATTTATGCACTTTCTTGATCTATGATCCCACCCCGTGCATAGCTTTCATTCCCTTTACACATTTAACCCACTGAAGTTATCTAGAAACAAAAGAAATTTAACAATCACTATGGAACCCAATATTGCCAAATCATAAAGCAGATGTATGGCTAGAAACGTCATGTTGGAACTTTGGAACATTATTTCCCAAGGAAAAATCAAGTAAAAGGCAACTTCATGTCAATTTGTCCTCGAATAATGAATATCTTGAAATCAACGTGTAAGGATATTGATGCTTAGCTGCCTGCAGAATTATTCTTAAACCTACGTACACTGAACCTCAAGAGCAATTATGAGTAACAACTTTTACAATAATATGATAGCATTATAAATGACTAAATGCATTTGGTGGATTTTTTTCTGTACTTGGCCCAACTCAACAAAGCCTCATCCAAACTGTTTAACATTGAATATGTAAATCCAGAACTCTAGTTAACCAAATGCTATCACATTCTTTCCTTACTACTTCAATTAATGTTAATTTTGCTCTTCTCCTAGCCCACTCATCGCCTTCAATGTCAACCACATTCCTGCTGGTGCAATTATTAGTCTTCACTACACAAGACCAAACCATCTAAGCCAATTTTCTCTTATTTTATCTCAAATGGGTGCTACTTCGACTGTTTCATCAATGTATTCATTTTTAATTTTATCATTTATTGTTAATCACACATCCCTCTCAAGACCACATTTCAATGACACTAATTTATGAACAAATTATTTTTTAACCACACAACAATTTGGTCTATGAACTGTTCTATAGAATCTACCTTCCAATTTTTAGAGGTATATATCGGTCACAAAGTATGCCAAGAGCACTTCTCCACTTAAACCATCCTACTTAAATTTTATGGAAAATATCATCTCTCGTCACTTTGTGAATAATCAAAACTAAAAAATAGAACTACTAGTTTTTTGGTATCTCTTGGTTGTCATTCTTCACCATATTCCCACTTGTGTTCCTAACTTTGCCAAAATTACATTCCATACATTCAATTTTAATCCAACTTATCTTCCCTCCTTGATACTAAACTCTAATTTGGATCTTCTTCAATTTCATCAACTAGAACAATATCACCTAACAACTAACATAATGTAACATCATTTCATACATGTCTTCAGTTCATCCTTGATTAAGCAAAAAGATAGGTTTAATGCAGATGCATGAAAATTCAATTATACCCCCCCTCTCATCTCTTGGTATTTCAAAGTTGAATCTAATTACCTTAACTGGAACTATAACAAAAACAAAGATTTAAGAACCGCAAATAATGAGAATAAATAGCAAAGGGTGTCAATTATCAAAAAAGAGAAATAAAAAAGAACAAATGATTTTGTTCTTAAGTTATTTTTTAACAAATAAAAGAGAATCATTAAAAGGAGTCAAAGTGAATACAACCAGTGCAAACTGGATGTACAGGACTATACAAAAGTATGCTCATATCTGCCACAAAAATATTATAAGGAATTAGTATAAAGTAAGGATCTTTCATTTGTCCAGAAGAAGAAATGAGCTTAATATGTGATACTTTCATCCTCTAGATAGGCATTCTCAGCCTTTCAAAGGAACGCCTAATCCTCTCCTTCCGAAGGCACCACCAGCAAATAGCGGGGCTGCCACACTCTCTAACTCTCCTCACTCTAAACCATCTCCAAGTGGAAAAGGCCACAAAAAACAATTGAGGCATAACCCATTGAACTCCAAACAGGTAAAAGAGAAGCACACATAAATTTCTAAACACTAGACAATGCAAAATCAGATGACTCACTGAGTCAACATATATTTACTAGTAATACCAGTTCACAATAAGTTCTCTCTTATTTATCAAATTGTTTAAGGTAAGAATCTTTCCAAACTCGATTTTCCTAGAAAAGGCTATCTTGGCGGAAACTTTAGCAGCCTAATGACTTTCACTGGAAAATCAGGAAGGCCTCCCCTTCTCAAGTCTCAACACCCAATGGAATGAACTTCTCCATTCCCAACACCACCGTCTTAAGAAGTCCTATGCCCTCAAATGAATAATAATCTAGAGTAAAACGAAGAAAAAAAGCATGTATTGCCTCCATCCCCCAATCTTAACGAGTATCGAGTCCTTTTAAAGCAAATATCCCAAACAGCCTTGCAAAGCAATGATGTAATAAAACAGTACAAGAAATAATAGTTATCATGGTCATAGAAATACTAGAAAACCAGAGATTCATCAAAGCTTTGTAATAAACATGCAGAAGTTAATTGCTTTTGTTACAAACATACTGACTTTATTGCTTACTAACCGAATTAAAATACTGACTTAATTGCCTACTGTGTAAACAAAATACTAGCTTTTTATTTTTTTTACTTGGCAGGAAACTCACCCACCCATTTGTCTCTATGAGAACTTCGACTGTCACATTTCACTAATGGAGGTAGAGGAGATACCTTCATATATAATCACAAGCATGCCTACATACAATTTATCATGTACTTATAGGCATCCATGCCTTTACATTGGTAGTATTGATGCTAATGACTAGCTAGGTCATAAAGCTAACCGAGGTTAATCGAAATCACTCTATAATAATGGAAAGGATCATGCTTTTTCACCAATAGAACGAATTAATTACATACTACAGAAACAAACTCAAGAATTCAACATCTTGATGCATATATGTAGGCACGTATATCTATACATATACATACATACATGTGGGTGTTGATGGATTACTCAAATAATTGTCCGCGACAAAGAATGATCAACGACGACGACCGTGGCTGCAGATATGGCCAAACCTTGGAATTCAAAACGCTCGCTAAAAGGCCCGTTTGGTTGCTGGTAAAGTGGTAAATCGCAGGAAATTGAAGGAAAACTGGAAACTGGGAACTAGCGCTGACCCAAGTTTCATTTCACTCGGATTTCCCAGGAATCAAACATGGCATGAAATGATAATGAATAATATTTATGCAGTTAAGAAGGCAATAGGACTGAAATTAGGGCATGAACAAGACTCACCTCATAAGCAAGTAAAACGTATGCCCATTCCTTCGAGGTTGATTTACAATTTTTTTATTTTTTTATTTTTTTTTTTGGGGGCCTTTATAGGAGGATGGTGATAATTGATTAATCAAATATATTTTTAAAGATCTTATCTCCTGGTAATGGTTTGATATTAATTTTTAGGGAGCTAATATTGCCCCCAAAATTATACTTAGTCGCTCTACTTTCTTTTTCTTTTTTTTTTTTCATAATTAAATGATAAAATTAATCCATATTCTACTCTTTCTGTAATACTCTTAATTTTTAAAAATTTATTTAAGTATTTTAATTGTATTATGTGGCTAGTTGATTATTTGTTTTTATGGTTAATTATGTGATTGTTTGATTATTTGCTTTTAGTTGTTTTATTTATTTTTATTTTGTTTATTTTAAATTTATTGATGTGCCTAATTGAGTATTTGCATTTTTTTTTTGATTTTATGTGTGATATGTTTATTTAATTAAATGACTTTTAAATGTTTAATTGTTTAGTTAAATGGTTTGTTTATTTAATTTTTATTTTATTTTGAAAGGTTATAGATTAGGCTTGTAGTTCTTGGACCAACTAAATGGGTGTTGGACTATTTAAAAAAATTCAAAATTTATTAGATTGTAGCCCATAGGCTTTTGAAATAAATAAAAGTTGTCACCACGATTTGTAAGTTCTTTGATGATTATGGATCATGTGGAAGTTGTGGCTTATTGATTAGCACTTTCGAACCATTTTATATCGTGTCTGTAATGTCTTTCGTGTATCCATGTTACGAAAATTTATACAAGATGAGGATCGTTATTAGCAAATAGATGTTGGCGATATTGAGTCGCAGCTCGATGCGACATACGTCGAGCCACCATATTGTATTCTTGACCATAGGGACCAAGTTCTTTGCAACAAAATTATTCCTCTTGTGTGTGTTTAGTGAAGTAATGAGTCTGAGTCCACTTAGGAACAGAAAGACTTAATCCTTTCAAAGTTTTCAGAATTATTTAATTAAGTTATAGGGTGAATTCTGACCATTGTTAGGGTGAAATAATATAATACTCCTAATTTATGAAAAATTATTTAATTGATTTAGTTATATTTTTATTTAATAAATTGTTTGTGTAATGTGTTTATTTAATAAATTGTTTTTAAATGTTTAATTGTGTATTTAAATGTTTATTTTATTTTATTAATGGATTTGGGTGCTTTTAAATGAAAATGTTTGTTTGGTACAAAACAATTTTCAAATGAAATTTATAGTACGTAATATGTTACGAGTAAATGGGGGGTTCATCTGACACGATTCAAGTAGACGTCACAATTAATTAAACAAATAAAAATGGATTAACACAATATTATGACGCGAATAGATTAAAACCCAAACTCGGTTTGCTAATGTGGTGCTTTGATTCGCATTCAATATTTCTCCAAAGTAAAAGAAATCGAGGAAACCCTAGGATTGTAACTGAGATCGGAAGATGAAGTTGTGCTTAAGTGGAAAAGTAATGCTCCAAGGCTCACTGATAGAGTACTTGAACCCTTTCTATGACATACATCGTCCGGGTCCGAGGGACAGTTTTGATGAACGTTACGGTATCCGCGATGCCGAAACCGGAATACGATATGCAGCAATGTTCGAAATCGGAGCTACAGATGCTACCACAGTCGACTATGAAGCCTTCTTTCGCTCCTGGGTCGATGAGTTTGAGGATATATTTGTAGCAATGAAGAAGATGAACATGATCAACAATCTGCGGCGGCAGCAGCAGAGTACGAGAAACTGACTCGAGAAGTTCAAAGGAGTGTCCTGGTCCCTCATCATCCCAACATTCTTGGAATCAAAGCCATATTCACTGATCATATTTATAAGAGTGAGTTCTATGTGGTCATGCCATTCATGGAGTTGGGCTCTCTTGTTCCATCATGACATATAAGTTCAACAATGGTCTGTCCGAGGAATCTATAGCTGTGGTCCTCAAGCAAACCTTAATGGGTCTCTCTCATCTCCATCTAAATGCCCAATTACACAGAGATATCAATGCTGGACACATCTTCTTTAGCCACTATCACGGTATCAAACTCGCCTTCGCCGCCACTGTATACGAACACGACTATGGTAATCACCATCTTCGCAACAGTACTGTTTCAGTCTCTACCGTCTTGGCGGCTGCGCCCGAGGTTTTCTACTCCAATGATAATGATGATAAATACACCCAAAAGGCTGACATATGGCTTATTGGAATCACCGCATTAGAGTTGGCTTATGGTGGAATTTCAGTGTCTGGTAGAAAAAAACTACCCCCAAAGAAAGAGAGAGGACTCTCATCTTTCTTCAAACCATTGGTTAAGCCCTGTTGTGGTGGTGGTGGTGGTGCTGCTGATCTGAGTCTGGAATTCTCAGAATGTTTTGGGAAGGTGGTGTCAAAGTGTCTGGATACAGAACCGGCGCAGAGGCCCACGACATTTGAGCTTCTAGAGGATGAATTCTTCAAGAATTGCAGCGAGGATGTGAAATACTTTCTGACTAAGTCCACTCCTCTTCCTCATCATTATTATTAATTGCTGTTTAAGTTTGCTCATACTTTGTTTCCATTCTTTGTTGGTTGATTTTGTTTTTGTTTTCCTTTGTTGAATTTGTCTCATCAAAGTTTTCATTATAGCCTCCTCTAGTCATTACCACTCTTGAATTTGTTCTTTTTTTTTTTAATTTTTTTTATTATTTTTTTTTATACACATGTTAATGCTTGCTTTGCTTCGTCTTCTTCTTACTATTCAACTTTCTTTTCTTGTTTGTGTCAAATATGGTTTAGAAGTGGTGAAAATATAATTTGTTATTAATTAAGCACAAAAGTGCATGAAATTGAGGTTAGTATAATTATTTGCTTGTAATATAATTAAAGCCACAAAATGATCAACCATTTAATAAAAAGTATAAGTAGAAATTCAAGCGAGCATTGTTGCCTGGTTCAAGAGTAAAAATGTCTGAGCAATTAATTAGTGGCACTGTTGCAAGTTCAATACTGAGAGCAATCACTTTTTGAAAAAAATCTAAGGTTAAGTCTGTCTCAAATCTCCCCTCCTTAAGAACCTGCTGTAGGTTTTTAGGTAGAAATTCAGGTTCAAGGACAAGGGAGTTCCAACGGAAGATGAGAAACAAGCTTACATATATTGTTTTCTGCATCTTCTGTGTTTGGCCAAACATAAGGGATTAGAACAACCTCTTCATCTTAAGAAGAAGTTGGTGTGGAAGATTGAGAAATGGATTGCCTCCTATTTGTATGTGATTACATTGTTGAATTTATCCCCAAGTCCCAAAAACTGAATGATCTGACATCCATTGTGCTAACAACTTTTTTAAAAAAATTCCAAAGAAATTTCAACAAGTTTTGGTATCTTTGCTTGTTTTCAAATGATAAATTATTAACCATGATTGCCTTTTTTTCTTTCTTTCTTCTTCCCTAAATTGTCATGATTAACCATATGATCAAATATCTACATCAACAATCCAACCAAGAAATCCCAAGCACCACCAGTCCAAATTGTGCCCTAAAAGAGGCACAGAACAACATTCAGTATTACAGGGATAGAAAAGCTAAGAATACTATTTTGAAGTTAGAAAATTTCTTCCTCTTGGTTGCTAGACTTTCTTAGGGTAGTTACGATTGATGTGACTTTTTGAGTTGGAGTTTCCAGCCATTTCTTGTATTTTGGTTCACTACTTTTCTTTCTCTTGCATTTTCCGGCGTCTTTCTGCATTTTCTGGTTGGACTTTCTTGCATTCTTCCTATTTCTTTGATCTTTCTTAATTTCCTACAACAATCTCGTCTGGTTTATTGCCTTTACTTTCTCTGTTTTTCCATCTGCTCTCGCGGTGCTTTTCTGGCAATCTGACAAGGGGTACAGTTCAAAATTATGCTTACAATTGGTCAAGTGCTGTTGAAGAAGGTGAATTTCATCCCTCTGATCATGAGACTGAGATGGATATGGGAGACTTGTTGATTCAGGTAATGATTCTACAATTCGTGATAATGATCTTCTCCATTTGCCCAATCAGTCTAGATCAACTATGTGCACATGAGCAAATAGGTATGAGGAGGCCCAGGACGACATGGGCCGGATCTGACTTGCAAGCACTACATCCGGTCCGTACAGCTGGGTCGGCCCATATAAAGACACTGCTATATGGGCCGAAAGCGAGTAAGCCCATCAAAGGTGACCAGGACTTATGGAGGAACAGACCCAGATCCAGCAATCAGTCAATATTTGTAAATATCTTGTAAATATCTATAAATAAGAGAAGGAATGGAAAAGATAGGGGGATCTTTTGGTTGAAGTGTAAGAATTCTAGAGAGAGAGAAAGAGGGAATGAATTTCTTGCATCTTCAATTGGCGCCGTCTGTGGGAAACGCATGGAAGTTGGTTGATCAATGAGGAATATCGAGTGGATTCAGACCAATTCGGTTGATCGAGACTCGATCTTTGGGATTTGGATCCAGATCTGAGCGATTGTGACCTACTCTGGAGGAATTACAATTCTTGAAGCTTTGGCAGAAGTGGCTTCAGATCTACGCAACAACGAGTTGTTCGATTGTGGCAGGATCTGACGGATTTAGAGTTCAGACAATTCAGATCTCGTAGACAGTGAGCATAATTCGGAGAATTCGAAGCCAGATCTGAAAAATTCCCACTCACGAAGCTTGGATCTACTCGCGAACTTGAGATTAATGCCTTTACTCCGTTCAGGAATAATGATAGGTGAAAGCTCCAATCCGATGGAGGCTGTCCAGCAAACAAAGCTTGAGGAGTTGATGAACTTGATTGAAGCTCTCAAAAAAGAGAATGCAGAATTGAAAGCTGGAATGCAACATCGGCAAATACCTGCGGTTTCGCATCCACTTCCGGTCGGTGAAGGAGGTGTTCAATCTAATATCGCGCGTCAAGGCGAGCACGACGAGAACAATCAGTCAGCTCACCACCGTGATGAAAGGATGATGGACAATTTGCCGCCAAATGTTCGTCGAATTGAGGATCACGAAGGATCGACTCACGTTGATCCGCGACATGAGCAGATTAGACGGGATGAAGCCATAACCTTCGATCCGCATCGGGAAAGGTTCAACCGAGAGGAAGTGATAAAGGTTGATCGCCGTCGAGTAGCGTCGCCTTGGCAAAGAGAGTTCATAGAGGAACGGTCGTTTGATCCGTCTTACCGGCCCTCCATGGCTACTATCACTCATCGCGGTTCGGAGGGCAGAACCGTAACTCACAGAGCTACCGCTGGACTCCAGAGAGAGAATGAAGCTCTCCGATCCGCAGCTCGGACGGTTGATTCACCATTCACCGACGAGATCTTGAATGCCCCGCATCCAAGGAAGTTTGCTATGCCAGTCTTTATTCTGTTCGACGGAACAACCGATCCGATCGATCATGTGTACCATATCCAGTTGAAAATGGCCCTGAATACGGAAAACGACTCTTTAATGTGCAAATGTTTCCCTACAAGCCTAGCCGGACCGGCGCTCAGCTGGTTCAAAAACTTGCCTAGGAGCTCCATTGGTAGCTTCAGAAACCTGTGCGATCGGTTCATAAGCCAGTACTATGGGAACAAGCGCCCGCCGAAGGACATCTCGAGCCTATTCACGATGAGGCAGCACAAGGATGAACGTCTCCAGGCTTTTCTTACCAGGTTTAATCTCACTAAGAGTATGGTGATCGAATGCCACCCTTCTACAGCAGTTCAAGCCTTCAAGTTAGCCATGACACGTGGAACTCCGTTTCACACCAGTCTGGTAGTGAACACGCCAACTACTATGGATGAACTCAATGAAAGAGCCGATGGCTTTGTGCGCCTAGAAGAAGAGGAGGCAGCTAATGCTCGGACAGCGTCGCTCGTGTCGACCGAGGAAAAGTCCAAGGCAAAGATCAGGCAGAAGCAGGCTCAGCCGCAACGTCCGACCTCTTGGAAGGCAGAAAAAAGGTCCAGGGAGGAAGAGCTGATTACTCCGCTGAAGGTCACTCTGGCGAGGCTGTATCAGGAGAACAAAGATAAGTTTCATCCACCACTGCCAATTAGGCAACCCCTCGAACAGAGGGATCAAACTAAACATTGTGCTTTCCATTCTGACTTCGGTCATCAGACTAACGAATGCAGGAACCTGAGGAGGCAAGTGGAGATGTTGATAGCTAGAGGGGAGTTCGCGAGTTATGTTCAAGGTTCGGCGATAGAGCAGAATCGACCGATGGAACAAATAAAAAGGAGTCATAAACAAAGCTTCCACAATTCACAACCAGTTCGTATAATCAATGCTATCCATGGTCGACCCGAGCCTAGTGAAGAGTCAGATGAGCTACTCCGGGCGCGCCTGCGGCAGGCGCAGATGAAGAAAAGGGTCAGCAGTGTGAATACTCTACACCAGCAGAGCCCGTCGATGCAGATAAAGTTCGACTGGACAGACCTGCAGCGTGTTCAACTGCCCCATGAAGACCCGTTGGTAGTCAGTTTGACAGTGGCAGACTGCTTGGTGCGCAGAGTTCTGATCGATCCTGGGAGCAGTGCGAATGTCATGCCGAGGGACACATTTGATAGGCTCGAGATTCAACCAGAGAGGCTCAAGCCCACTGGAAATCCCTTGTTAGGGTTCGATGGGAAGAGGGTGGAGCCCGTCGGGATGGTGGAAGTGGAAGTTCAAGCTGCAGAATGAGCTCTTATGGAAACTTTTGTGGTTGTAGAAATTCACCCCTCGTATAATCTCCTGATGGGAAGAGGATGGATTCACAGAGTCCAAGGTGTACCCTCAACTCTGCATCAGGTCATGAGGTGCCTCGGACCCGATGGAGATAAAGTGATAGACATTCGAGGGGATCAGGTTGCAGCCAAAGAGTGTTATTCCGTCACACTAAAGCATGCTGGGAAAGGGAAGGCGCCCGTCCGTTCGGCAAGCCCCAGATAGCAATTACAGGAACCTCCGCCCGAGCAGAACAGGGTGGAGGAGTCAGTCGACTTGACCGAGGAGCCCCTTCTGGATGTGCAGATCGATCAGTCCAGGCCAGAACGAACTACCAGAGTAGGTATAAGACTGACCAGAGAAGAGCAGCAAGAGCTAGTGGATTTCTTGTCCCACAATGCCGACGTATTTGCATGGAGTCACCTAGACATGCCTGGAATTAGTCCCTCCGTATCCTGTCATTCCCTGAATGTCAATCCCAATTTCAAACCAGTGAAACAGAAGCAGCGAAGATTTGCTCCAGAACGTAATCAAATCATAGCGGAAGAAGTCGATAGGCTGCTTGATGCGGGATTTATCAGAGAAGTGCACTACCCTGATTGGTTGTCCAACGTCGTTGTCGTGCAGAAGAAGAATGGGAAATGGCGAGTATGCATTGATTTCACCAATTTGAACAAAGCCTGTCCGAAGGACAGCTTCCCGCCGCCTAAGATTGATCAAATGGTGGATGCCACCACCGGGTATGAGCGTTTAACCTTTCTGGACGCTTATTCGGGTTATAAT